ACTTAATTCCCAAAATAAAGCGTGGACTATATATATATATATATATATATATTTATATATATAGTTGCTTCGAGTTTTTACTAAAGACCCTGGTTGCACAATACATGTACTTACTTTTTTATCGAAAATTTGACCATTGCTCCTGCAACAAAATAACATATTTGACGGTTATTATTTTTGTTCTTATTACTCGAGTTGTTGGCAGCTTATTAGACGGTTTTTATAACGAAACTTTTATAGACCAATTATTTGATATGATGTGTTTTTATGAAAATGTAAATTGGAGATTTGATATTGAATTTTTTTTTTTTGAGATTTGAATTGTTCCACGCATGAAATTCCCTGAGATAAAGATGCCTGGCAAGACAACCTTGGTTTTCAGCTTTTATAGTAGAGCATGATATGACTTGTATTTTCATTAACAAAAGCAAAAGCCTAGCCAAAGCTTTTTAGCTGATTAGGGTGACAAGGCAGGCACCGCCCCATCTCAACTCTTAATATTATTTGCCCAACTAATTATATTCACTTATGCTAAATTTCTCCACAGAGGGGACGATGAGAAGATGCCAAATTCCCATCTCAAAAAGCTTCTTTTGCTTCTAAAAAGTAGCCACACCTTCCTCATTATAATATTCTTTTTAACTTTTTAAGCCCCTTTTCCCCCCAAGTTTATATGTCGAATCCTTAAAGCGTTTCTAACAATAGAAAATCCCACTTAGATGAAGCCACACATGAAAAGCTACTTTTTTTTTTCCCCATTTATTTTCTCTCTTCCCACTTATTAATGTTGTTGAATTTTGTCAATCCCCCCAACCCCCAAGCCTACTTTACACACAAGCTTTGCTTTCTAGCTTTCCACCCCACAAGATTAACCTAAAAGCTTCCCCTGGCTTTCCCACGTTGATGATGAATAAAGCAAGCATGCCTACGTAATTATCTTTTCAGAACTTGTAATCAGATTCACTTAATATCCCTTAAAGCCATGTTTTAATCACTGTGATTACATTTAAGTTATGAGCAATCTCTCAGATTCCCACACATATATCCCTTCAAGGACCCTACCCTAATTCATATATACCTAGTCATTATTGTACGATACAGTAACCCCCCCCCCCCAAAAAAAACCCTCCTTTTATTTAATCACCGGTCGTATATTCACCGTGCAACTTTCACTTTCTACTGTGTCTTAATCTTTTTTCCTTTAAATATGTTCATCATTATCGCAAACATCAATAGTAAAAGCAACCCAAAATGTGCATGCACGTAGCTTTTCAGGCACAGTAGTGTTTCTTAAGCAATTCCTCAGGTACGACTCTAAATTTTTATACATGTCAAATAGTGAGACTCGAAGAATAATTTGTTATTAATTGGATATTTCTTTTGTTCCTATTATTCAGTGATGCGTATAACTGAATCAAAATACAACTATGAACAGTAAAGTGTGTCTTGAGCTAAGATTGGGACTGATCTGATGTACGCGCATTAGAATATCTGAGATTAGCATTTAGTGGAGAAAGTAATAAACTAAGTGACATTATATATGGTCATGTTTATCTAGTATATATGTAGGCCCTATGTATATAAATTTACTTTGAAGAGGGACATATCATTGTCGCCTTATTCATCTTAAGGACCTACAGAAATTGGAAATGCATTGAATATACAATATGTGTACCAACACAGTTTCAACTAATTTCATAATTGCTTGTTTTGTCATCTCTCCCTCTCTCCCTCTCTCTCTCCCCCACCCCCTTCTTACTTAGTTATCTGATCTCCAACTGGGTCGAATGCATCTATGGATTTAGGTGGCATATTTAGTAGCACCGGACCTTTGACATGGACAGCATCCATAACTTTGTCTTCCAATCATATTAAATATTGCAGCCAGCCTCCATAATTTGCTTTTGTTCTTATTTTGTATAACCAGTACATATAATAAATTATTATTTCTTACATGCAAATGTGTTTTCCTATAGTTAAATTCATATTAAATATTATGCTGTTACTTTATCAGATTTTTACGCACCACCTAATATTTTTTGACAAAAAATGGCAGGAAGGAGATGTGCATCTCCAATTCCACAGGACATGATGCTACTGGCATGTTAGGGATATACAAACCCATGAGATTATATTACTTCATAATCTTAAATGGTATAATTTTCATCTCATTGTAGCTATTCATTAATCCCTAAATGTTATTATCTCTTGTCCTTAAATTATTATATCTTATATTAAGAACCAGAATCTCTTTTTGTGAAGTTATCGCCCTCAAATAAGACTTTGGATGATTTTAAGATATCTGAATCTACATGTATGAATGAGGTGGGAGCTTTTCCTGAATCCTTGACCAATAGGGCCAACTTGCACCAGCATTGTTACAAATATGTCAAGTTTTCAAATGAAAGACCACCAGAATTTGAGGCTTAAATTTTGCTTCAATTAAACTTTGTGATGAGAATATATATATTACACATTTTTATATATGCTGTTAGGAGACACAACTGTTTTATCGCGTGGCCTAGTTAGCAAAACACAACTTTTGTTTTGATTTCAATAAAAAAGAAGGTGGTACAGATCTTCAGGGGTTCGTAAATGAGGTTTATTTGCCAAGAAATTATCCGAAGTGATTAGCTCATTGGTTAGAATGTCACCTTCAAGGTGGTCCTATATCCATTTTTCATTTTTCATTTTTCTTGTTAATAAAACATCTAATTTCTCGAATAAAATATTTATCAATAATCCCCATGTGAAGTATGCAGTTTCCTGTCCTTAGGGCAATAAATGATAGCGTTATAACAACCACATGTGTTTATGATTTTGTGATAGATATTAAAGGATTATATTCTGCATAAAACACAACTGATAAATAGTATATTATTCAACATCATCAATATATGGAAGACTATTATAACTTGACACAGCGGCATCAATCAGGAAACTTCTCAGAAAATTAATGTTCATTCACTGTTCAGTATTCTCTTGCCGTTTCTAAAATGATATAAACAGTTTCTACTTGCTATGCTTTGTATTTGTCACTTCTTAAACCACCAAATCTCATCTCACTTTCAATCTATATATTGATTCAGACCAGCTTCTTCCAAATTTCTTCCCACCCTTCTGGTTCTGATATCTGTTATTGCCTCTTCGTATGCACATATGTAAATCTCAAATAAATCCTATTGGTTCGCATGATTGTCTCTGTGAACTTATTAGAAAAATGATATTTTGTCACTTTCCAGGCAAAAAATGCATCTATATATATATATATATATATATATTCTCCATTGCGAACTGTTTCTAAAATTTATCTAGCTTCGTGTGTGATAAAATTAAGGCTGTCGTAGAAAATGAAGACCATTTCTTTGACACGCCCAAACTAAACTCAGTGGGAAACTTTAAGTTGCATGCTGTAGTTTCAGGTGTAAATTCTATTGTGAGATAAATAATTAAGTGTAAGAAAATAACAACATGGATAATGATGAAAGGTGAGAAGATTGAGGAACATCAGAGGCAGAAGAAGGAGAAGTAGAGGAGGAGGGAATCGTGTAAAGTCATTCAGGGCCTGAGATATAAGAAAGTGAGATTAGAGAGACAGAAAAGAGACACAGGGGTACACTGTAAGAGACTTTTTTTTTTTTTTTCCTTTTCCCATCCCCACAGTTTTCTTTTTTTGGTCAAAACCCACAGTTTTCTATTTGAACAACTATCATAATGATAAGTCTATAGTACTATGCCCTTGACTTTTTCTTCTTTGTTAAACCGTTCCCATTTTAAAGAGCAAGAGAAGAAGAACAAGAAGGATGTACTGATCCAATATGAATTAAAGTGAAGTGAGTTGGTGTGTGACATTATGCTTTCAGAAGAAGAGCAAACACCAGAATTTGGCGCCCTTTTCCTGCTGGGGCTGAATATGTATTGGTCTTGTACTATTGACTTTAATTGATGTTCATAATCACCCTCACGTTATCATTTTGTGATTTTGGATTTTGATTAACTTCATCTATTTCGAAGTTTGCAGTTATAGAATCATTCGATTTTCAAGTGCTCAAGTGTTTAAGCTAATGGTCTGTTTGACAAATTTATAATTATGAGCTAATGATTAGCTTTGTTAGAAAAGATTGGGAATTAAGGAACACAAACAAAATGTTTTGAAAATTTTAGTCAACTTGAGGATGAAAGTATAAAACAAGAAAGAAAAAATACATGCAATATAAAAAAAAGTAAGGAGATGATTGTTGATGATTTTTATACGACACTGTAGGGCAAAACATTGGCCCCGTATATTGTCGACAAATATTGACAATATGCCTCCGAAATGTGAGAGTTTGTTCCTTTTGCTTTTGCCCCTGAAGTAATTGGGCCTCACGTAGGACCGTGCCGGTCTTGAGGACGTCATAAGGAGCCAGGCTAATGGCAATTGGATCTTAAAAGAAGTAGGCCTCCAAAGATATATAAGCCCATTAGTGTGCAAGATGGCAAATCACAAGGTTTTGTTTTTCGCTTCAAATACCCAAAAAAAAACCACTTCAATCTGTAACCAAAACAAAAAAAAAAAAGAGAAAAAGAAACTGGCTTCAATCCACCAATAAAGATTAGTCCAGGTCATAAGAATTTGACTTATAATTCACAAAGTTGTGGATTCAAATTCTTTTTCGTAAAGATTTTGCTAATGAACAACTTGTAATTACATCTGTAAACTTTTAGTTTCAATCCCACGAAAATTATGGGAAAAAAAAACTAATTACATCCCTAAATAATAATTAAAAATACAGGTAAAAAAAAAAGTAACAATAATTCCCATTGTGCTTCTATGGGCGCGTGTAATTATGACTAGTCTCTTGCAAGCATGGTCATGAGACTCTCATAAAGATCCATTTATAGATTCTTTCTATTTTGACTGCAAAAATTTCCATGTCCCCACACAACCAAAGGTAACAACTGTTGTAAGCGATGTCCCTTCAACAAGCACTTACATCAAATTAATAATTAAATTCAAAATTTTAGGTGGAGCCAAAAATTACCCCCCAAAAAAAAAAAAAATCAAAGGATTCAATTGGGAGCATAATCCTTTATTTCTGGTCTAAGTGCTGCAGGAGGGTTTGTTGGTCCCTGCTTATCTGAAACAGGTTGCTCTGCATCAGTTCGGCCGAAGAACAACATGCTGTCCAAATGAAAGACAGGACAAGAAGCATTAGTGAATAAAAGAAATGCATGAAAGTAGACCAAACCACATCAAAGATTTGAGATTGATGTACCTTAATCTGTGTCCTGTTATATGTATAGGTGATATGCACAAGTCCATCAGTAGATTGGATAACAGCAGGATACGAGTATTCCATTCCCAAGGTATCCTCCAGTGTAAGAACCTCATCCCAGGAATCTCCGTCATCCTCAGACTGGGCAACCTTAAGCACACCCCTAGAAATGGTGTTGTACACAAGCAATAGATGGCCGTTCCTCAGCTTAACCCCATCAATACCTAGTGAAAGAGATTCATGAAATGCACAATGTTAGAGACTATAATAAAACTATTCATGAATCATTCTCCTAACTTCATTTAACATAAGGATATCAGAAAGATTAGTCTTTAGAACAAAAAGTCACAATCAGCTTTGTTCTGAAATTCAGTCAAATACAGTCATGACAATGTCAAGGACTTCTTCACAAGTCTAAGAGTGATTTTATTCATATCTCTCACAAATATTGCAGAGCGTATAATGTAGACAACCAATGTCTTTTGGAAATTTAACCTGAATTTGGGTTTAGGAGCTGAGTAGGTTTTGCATATCCCCAAGTCTTGCCATTATCAAAGGATTCTGACATATAGACTCTACCAATGCCGGTAAAGGATCGAAGCAGGACTCGCAAGGTTCCTCTGGCAGTTTGGTAAGGCACTGGTTGAATCACACTAAGAGGTTTATTTTCAATGTAAATAGGTCCATATTTTCTCCATGTTCTACCAAAGTCTGTTGTTACCTATATCCCATGCAAGAAGCTAAATAAATGTCAAGCATCTAAAATATTGTGGAGCAGTTAAATCAACTGGTCAATCGAGATCAGTTCTGTTTAAGAGTCAATACCTCTGCCCATGCACCCCAAGAGTTCCAGCTTTCAACAGATGACCCACAAAGCATGAGACCATTTTCCAGTAAGAGAGGCTGGGAAAATAGTGGTCAGAATTCAGCACTTGCTAGAGATAAATTTGTCAAACCCATGAATTTTAAACTTGAAGAAAAGATAAAATAGAGTTCGTTGGTATTGTTTTATTACCTTATTCTTTATAGGTCCTAAAATACCAGGAGGAAGCTGTTCTCTTTCTGTCCACGTGACGCCTTTATCATATGAACGTTTCATGAATCCACTCCATCTGAACTCAAATAAGCCAATTCTGCCCATTAGAAGGGAAAACTAAAAATTTAATACTAGGTGTATTCTCATGCATTGAAGCATGACGATTTGAGATTGACAGCTTAATTCAGGGCAAAAGCCCTTTTGGAAGCATGTCAACCCCAACAGAAAAGAAAATTAAGCATTTTATAGAGAAACTTGCGCTATTTTTCATAACTATATGTTGCCATCTAAGAAGATAGTAAGTCAGAAACTTTACTTTTGAACATCTAAGCCTATCCTGTAGAATAGCAGCAACACATTTGATGGAAGTTTAAATAGCACAGGGTTCCACATTGGAACATTTGGTTCTTCATCAGCAATTACAGGTGGTTTCCATCTGCCATTCTGCCCACCAAATGATCTCACAAACTAGAGTTACCAATGAAAACTTTAAAGCTAAGTAACATCAATTCCTTAGGAAGGCCCAAAAATAAAACAGCAAACACCTTTTCGCAAAATCCATAAGATTTAGTTTTCAAATGGCACCAAATTGAAGGATTCCCAGTTTCCTATAAATTGAAGGACTGGGTTACCTTGTGAGTCTGCAGCCATATTTTGACATCAGGTGCTCCCTCTGTTGTGCCACCATAGTAGGCAACCAAAAAATGACCCTTTCTAACCTGAGAAAATAAAAAAAAACTCATAGTCTCACATTTTGATGACGATATTTTTTTTATTGGCTAAAGTATATTTTTGGTCTTTTAATTTTACATAAGGTTTTATTTTGGTCCCTTAATTTTAAAAAGTAAACTTTTAGTCTTCTAACCTTAGAATTGTAAACAAAAAACAATGATATTGAGCTCTTGAATGTTGATAAAACATTACTAAATGTTACAATATTAAGTTTAATTTTCAAAACAATCATGATTGTTACAAAAATTCATTATTTAAGACTAACAGTTTTAGGATTAAAGGACTAAAAGTATACTTTTTAAAGTTGAGAGATCAAACTGAAATCTTACGTAAAAAGTTAAATTACCAAATGAATACTTTAGCTTTCCCCAATGAAAGGGGTTATGGAAAAAAAAAAAAACGTAGAAAAAGAACAATCTCTTATTGTATTTTACTACCTCAACAATGGTAGAAGCATGGCAACTGTTGAAAGGAGTTGATTTTGCAGGAAAGGTGAACTCCTCTAACACTAGTCCATTTAAGCCAAGTGCTTCTGAAGTTGTCGATTTCGCCCTGCAGAATTTTCTTCTGATTTTTAGCTCATAATAATAACAGGAAAAGTAGGGAACAAAAAGAACAGCCAGTAGAATCAGACATATCACGTATACTATACATTATAGTGTTATGGTAGTATACTTATAGAAGCTCATTGACTGAGGCACCGAGGATTTTGTTTGAAAATAAACAGAACCCACCATTAAAAACATAAAAAACAGGAAAGAACAAAATAGTGAAAGGGGAATGCGAAAGAGCTAAGAAGAATACGAACCGTGAGAATGAGTAGGTCCTGTCGATGATAATGGATATCAAAAACAGAAAATGGACAGAAGAAGAGAGAAGAGAGGTCATTGTGCTGCTACTATCTCCACTGATTTCCAAACAATGTTGCTCGTCGAAAGGAAAATAGCTCATTTGAGTTCAAGCGAGTCGAGTTAGTTGACCCAGTGTCATCCGTTGAATTGTTCACCGGCTATCATCTGCCGTTGATTTCTGTCTGTTGTCTGCTAGTTGAAGTGGTTCTTGTCTATCCCATATATGCCAGAAAAATAAAAGAGAAAATCGCAAAAAATTACACCCATTCATAAAGTTGGTAAAAACTTATATTAATATCGTCATGAGTTTTGTTTGCAATTTTTTCATTTTGATGGTCTTTTCTTGCGATTTTTTCAAAATAAAATTAAAAAAGAAAAAAAAAGAAAAAGAAAAGGAGAAGCTAAACATTCCAAGTTCAGAAACTCATCATACATAGCCATGTGGCTCGCTACATCAGCTAACGGTTGCCTTCCATTATTGAATACGCCCGCATTCGATAGGGATACATTTACGTGCTTCTTAAATGGCTTTGAACTTTGAAGTAAAGACTTGGCATTTTCTTCTTTTAATTAATTTTTCAGTCAGATGGAGTCATTACTTTCATTGTTCTCATTTTAATATTTTAAAAATTAGATAACTAATTTATAAAAATTAATAAAATTAGTTATTTGTAAAAATTATACATTTCTCTATAATACACCTTCAATCAATTGTATCGAAAATTATTATATTGATAAAAAAAATTTCTTTTAACATGTGATAATATAAATAATTTAGAAAGAAAGTTATAAATTTAAAAGACAGGGTGAATTAAAGTCTTAAAACTAAATCAGTTCTTTCAACTAACTTTATATTTAGGATTAAATTTGTTGCTTATAAAAATTATATATTTTTCTATAATACACCTTCAATCACTTGTATTGAAAATTATTATATTGATAAAAAATTTTCTTTTAACACGTGATAATATAAATAATTTAGAAAGAAAGTTATAAATTTAAAAGACTAGGTGAATTAAAGTCCTAGAACTAAATCAATTCTTTCAACTAACTTTTTTTATATGTAGGATTTAAAACAGTTTTAAGCTAAATTTTTCAGGTGTTTCTATGATTAAATTTGTCCATCTCTCCCTGGGGAGGAATTAAATTCTTGCTCATCCGCACAACGGATAATATATGTTTTTTTTTTAAGGATACAAGAGGGGGCCACGTCCAGAGTAAGACTAAAGGAGTATTTAGATAAAAATCAAATTATAATTTTAAAAGTATTTTTACGGTATACGAGATAAATATGTGAAGGAGTTTACTTTGTTTTGCAGATCCCAAGCTCTCCTTGTCCACAATGACCCTCAATTCAGGAGGGCACATATCAAAAACAGTTGAAGTGGAAATTCCTTTCTTGGCTAAACTATCTGCTACACCATTACTGTCTCGACTTGTATATCTCAGATGGACTTCCCAACTTCGCTTTAATAAATCCTGAATTCGCAGCATTACAAGACTGCTATTTAAAGTAATCTCCTTTGATGTCAGCATCTCAATGAGTCCTTTAGCATCAGATTCCGGAATGATCTGTTTAAATCCATAATCCAAGGCCAAGCTCAAGCCCTTGAATATAGCCCATGTTTCGGCATCTATAACACTGCATTTTACAATCTTACAAGAGAACCCCACAATCCATTCACCATTATGGTTCCTTATCACTCCACCACATCAAGCATCACTCGAATGAGTATTGACTGCCCCATCCACATTTAATTTTACCCATTCAAGCGGAGGAGGAGACCAGCCACGGGTTAATTTTCATTCCGTTTGAAACATAACAAAATAAGGCAAAATCTGTGCAGGATATAGTACTTCTGTAGTTCTAGTCCATGAATACGCAAAATTGGAAACCGGAAATTTGTGAGAAAACAAGAGGAACTGCTGTGAGGAAAATCCGTTTGAAGATAAACACTAAAAGAGACCCCATCGTCCACCAAGTTTCAGATTATTCTTCACTTATTTGTGAGGCTTCAAGCTCAGATCTTCTAGGTTATTCTTTAACGAATGAGTACTGAACTACTGACAATATCAACGATTAGTAATGAAAATATCGAAAAATAAGTCCTCAAAAAAAAAAAAAAATCAAACATCATTATTGAAAAATTTCACTCAAAATACTCCAATTACAACAAAGGACCTTGATCTTTTCTTGAAATTTTCAAAATTTAAGGTCCTTAATTATAATTAACTTAGAATGACCGGAAACATCGTTTGCCGTTCGAGGTAATTTAATTCACGAACCCACGTCACTTTAGCTCAAGAACAACACGCTGCCAACAACGAAAAATGAGGAGGTTAGTCCTTATTTATAGTTGGGTACACACACACAGACATAGAACTCAGATTAGAAGAAGGCGATATATACCTTAATTTGTGTCCTGTTATAAGTATACGTGATGTGCACACGTCCATCACTGGCCTGGATAACAGCAGGATAAGAGAACTCCATTCCCAAGTTATTCTCCAACGTAAGAGCTTCACGCCAAGAATCACCATCATCTTCAGATAGGGCAACCTTCAATACGCCCCTTGAAACTGTATTGTAAGCAAGCAACAAACGGCCATCTCGCAGCTTAACGCCGTCAATGCCTAGAAAAACAAATTTTAAGAGATAAGCCACTAGATCATCAGGTTTTGACGAAGATCAAGGAAGGTCTTACTTGCTAACCTTAAAAAAAACACGAAGGAATGCCTAAAAGTTGAAGCGATGAACTTCAGGATTAAATAGATTAAGAAACTACATAGATGAACTTGACCTGAATTCGGGTTTGGGAGCTTAGTGGGTTTTGCATATCCCCAAGTCTTGCCACCATCAGAAGATTCTGACATACACACTCTACCAATGCCATCAAAGGATCGTAGTAAAACTCGTATTGCCCCATTTGAAGTCTGATAAGGTACTGGTTGGATTACACTCAGGGGATTGTTTTCAAAGTAAATTGGGCCATACTTCGTCCATGACCGACCAAAATCTGTAGTGACCTGTTTTATACAACAATAATAAAGTTTCAGCCGATTTTTCAATCAGAAGCTCAACTAAGATGCGCTTGTTCAGAAGTTAAAACCTCCATCCATGCACCCCAGGAGTTCCAGCTCTCAACAGATGATCCACAAAGTAAATGGCCACTGTCCAGCAAAATGGGCTGAGAAATAATAATAATAAGACTTCAGAACATGCCAAATAAATAGTTATGCCCATGAATTCAAAACACATTACAATAAAATAGCTTCAGTTTTACCTTATTCTTTATTGGTCCTAATATGCCTGGAGGAAGTTGTTCTCTTTCTGTCCAGGTGATGCCTTTATCATACAACCTTTTCATAAATCCACTCCATCTGACATTAAATAAGCCCATTCCTTCCATCATATCATTCATATGCAAGAAGGGAACAAGTAGCAAACTTAAAAGTGAAATAACTTCTACATGGTTATGTGCAAGGGGATCATAACTGATTGAGGCTTCTTTTGTTATATCTAGAACTGTGAATGTCTTTTACAATGAGCTACTATTTAATAAGCAGTTATCCAGTATGTCTGTTTAATTGTTTTATCTGTCATTCTTAGAAATTGTCTTTTTGGTTAACACTGAGAAATTGTTTTAATAATAAACTTTGACAAATATAAAGTTTCCACTGTGGAGTAGTGGCCTCAATGACTGCTTAAACAGAAGGGGGAAAATGATCTGATAAGATCATAAAGGTTAGAATTTACTTTTGAACTTCTTGGCCTATTTTGTAGAATAGCAGTATCTCGTCTGATGGGAGCTTGAACAGTACAGGGTTCCACATAGGAACATTTGGTTGTTCATCTGCGATTACAGGTGGATACCATCTGCCATTCTGCCCAACAAATTTGCATTTAGAAAGTTAATGATCCATTCAAAAATTTATGATAAGACAAGGGAAGCAGGAATATCACTGTTTTTGCAATCAAGATGTCTTCAGTCTCCGCAAAACAGACAAAGAAAAGAACATTGAATTTACTTTTAAAATGAAGATGAATTCAATGGCTCATCGTTCAGATTAAACTTCCCTATATCATGCTGACTTTGCTTGCGAAGCAGATAGACGATTGAGCAGTGTAAAAGGGGAAAGAAAAAAGGAAAAGAAAACTATACCAGTAATTCTGACAGTAGATTATGACAAAAACATGAAGAATGGATCCTATGAAGTTGAGGATCCATAAATTTGCTGAAGTTTTGCTCTCTAAGATAGAGAGACAAGGTTTTACTTTTTTATTAAAAGAACACAAATTAGAAACCAGAATTAGCACGGCCGCATGGGAATAATCAATTTCTATGAATTTAAAGATAGAAGCTTGTCGAGCTTGGTGACGCTAGCTTGAGACTCAATCGAGAGCATAATCGAAAAAAACAAAGAGAGAAGGAGCTTCGTTTACAATTACTTTGTAAGTCTGCAACCATATTTTGACATCAGGTGCCCCCTCTGACGTGCCCCCAAAATAGGCAACCAGGAAATGATCCTTCTCAACCTGCAAAATCAAACATGATATAATTCAATTCAATGCCCACAAAATTCCGTAATTTGTTTGAGAAAAACGCTACTCGCTTGTGTTTTTTTAACTATTCCTTGACCTCAACAATGGTAGATGCATGGCAACTCTTGAATGGAGCTTCAGGAAAAGTAAGTTCCTCCACCAGGGGCTGCTCTATTGGACAATCATTTGCCATGCCTAAACTACGGATTTCCTAATCTTTTTGAACTTTTCAGGCTACGTCCTGGAACTTTAGCTTCAAGATTATAGCTGATAACTGGGAAAGAACAGATAGACTCAGATTCATGACGATCATTTTCAAAATAAAGAAGTATTTTTAAATTAAAACATTATACTGTTAGAAGCTCTGCATCAAAGCTCAAACATTGGCACCTCTAGAGATTCCCAATATCTACCTGATCAGAGAAGTTGAACGCGTGACCCTACCAATGGAGCTCCCCAGTGGCTAGTCAGTACATTCGCGAAAAGTAATCACCGGAAAGAATCAAAACCGAAGTAGAAAATACAAAAGAACTATGCAACCCAAACTCTGCGATCCGGGAGGGAAATTGCTCATCTGCATTGACTAAATCACTTTATTTGATGACATTTTCTCGGACAGAAGAAGTCACGTTGAACTTAAGTATGAACCCAGAAAGAATTCACACTAAAGTATGAAACCCAAAAGCAAATTCCCAAACTTTAATCACCAGAAAGAATCAAAACTGAGATAGAAAATAAAATGAATTGTGCAGCTTAAACTCAACAATATGGGGGGACAATTGCTCATCTGCGTTGACTCAATCACTTTATCTGATTATTTACTTTTGGTCAGAAGAATTCACCCTGCACTTAAACCAGACAAGCAGAATACCGAGAATTTAAGAAATAGCGAATGGATTTGTAAGCCAGAGAAGTATCAGTACCTCCGTCAACAGAAGAGACAGAAATGCAAATGGCACTGAATACTGATTTGTGCTGTTTCTGTTGCTGCAAAGCATCCCACCGTGCATCCCGCTCGATATTTCTGTTCACGCGGTGATTAATAATTGTTTTATTTTTTTGGCCAATACGTTGATTAATACTTTATTATAAGAGACATTTGGTGCTTATGGCATGTTCCTATATATAAGAGACACTTAAAAGTTGTCTCTACTTTTTTGTGTTGATTTCCTATTTTACCCATATTTATTGTCTCCAACTCACACTCTCTCTCCTTCTCATTTCTCTTTCTTTTAATAAATTACCATTGTTCTTTCTCATGTTCTCTCTCCTTATTAATGAGGGCATTGTTGGAAAAAAAATTATACTTTTTACATATTAATTGTTCTTAACTAATTTTAACTGTTTTTTTGATTGACGTAATTCGGTTATTCGTCTCTTATAATAAGGAACGGAGGGAATAATTGATTAGTAATTAATAATGAGTAATGTATTAGAGGGCGAAGGATAACACAAACAATGTGAAATCAAAATAGAGTAAGAGAAAATTACAAATAAAACCCCATAATATGTAAAATTATGATTTAAGACTCTAAATTGGAAAAATAGCAAATAAGGATCATGTCTCACTTTTGCAAATATGAAATGTGGGTGAAATATCTAAAATGTCCCTCAGCTAAAATTGTAATTTGGTCTACTAAAATTGTCATTCACTAAAATGAACTTGTCATTTTCCATAATCAACTTGTCATTTGACATACTCTTGATCAAGTTATGATTTGGTTTAGTGAAATTATCATTTGTTAAAGTGAAGTTGTCATTTTTCATAGTCAACTTGTCCTTTGACTGAGGGGTATTTCAGATATTTTATCATGATTTTATATTTGTAAAAGTGGGACCAGGTTCTTATTTGCTATTTTCTAAATTGAAAGTCCCAAATCATAATTTTACATATTTAGAAGTCTTTTTTTACAATTTTCTCATAGAGTAAAGTGGAACAAGAAAAAAAATACGGTAAAGTATGACCTGTTTTTATTTTTCAAGTGCGTCAACAGTCTATTTTTATAACGTTCCATTCTGTAGATTAAAATATGATAAAGATGTACTAAAAATAAAATTTACATGTTATATGTACTATAAAAAATATCAGGGATGCATTTAAAAGATAAGATTAAATTGTTAGATGCTACTTTGCGCATCAAATATCAAATTTATATAAAATATTTAGCATGTCTTTTCAATAAAAATGGGAGGAAGTATAATTTAAGTTCTCATTAAAAAAAAGTAATATCATTAGTTTTACTTTTTTTGTAATTTAAAAAGAATTGAATGATTATTTGCTCTATTGTTAGTTTGATTACAATCAAATTGCAAACGAATTGATTATAACCAAATTAATATATTTTGATTTTAATTTTTAAAATATCATATAAAAATAAAATTATTGACTCTCACCTATACCTGACTAATTTTTCTAAATTTTTAATCAATTTATTGATTCTTAACCAATTTTCCAAATGCTCAAATTTTTCCCCCGAGTTTTTTAACTCATATTTCAGGTGTCCACCTTTAAGGGTCTAATTTGATTTTTATATCCTTAAATAAAAGGGAAAATGACAATAAAATACCACTTGAATTCCAAAAAGACAAATAAAGGACCTGAATAAGCAAAATGACAAATAGGGCACTGGGTACTAATCTGGAATTTTGATTTTTGATGTCAAAACATGTTGCAAAACCCATTGACAAAGTAGTAACTCTCACTATGAAAGTTGTAAATCCCACTATGTGTTTTGTAAAATTTAGCGTGGAATTGTATTGTTTTTTACAGAAAAGTTGCCTAACCCCTCAAAACAGGTTGCAAAAGCTATTGACCAAGTAGTAATTCTCATTATGAAAGTTGTAAATCCTACTATGTGTTTGTAAAATTAGGCAAAACTTGCTCGGTCCTTCAAAACAGGTTGTAAAACCCATTGACGAAGTAGTAACTCTCACTATGAAAGTTGTAAATCCCACTATGTGTTTTGTAAAATTTAAAATCAAAATCTCATATTGGTACCTGATGCCTTCTTTGTCATTTTGTTTATTCAGGTCCCTTATTTGTCTTTTTAAAATTCAAGTGGTATTTTATTGTCATTTTTTCTAAATAAAACAGAGAGAGCCTGTATTTTTTTGGGTGCTGTAAGGAACCATGCAACGAGAGGGTAACTGACAAGCGTTCGTTCACAGTGATCACCCCTTTTTCGTTGCCTATGAATATTACCAATTTAATGCCATTGTTAATCCTATAAACATGCAAATAAACAGCCACATCTCTCTCTGTTTTCTCTCAAAAATTATGAAGATTTAGAGATAGAATCATTCCAGATTTTTATTACGAATTATTTCGAATGAATTTATCTTGTGAGACCAACATTTCTGCAGAATTGGAATCGATTTAAGCTTGATAGCAGCCTGATTTATCGACTATCATGAGTGAGACGAACGTTTCTCCGGAGAATGTCGACTTGCCGTCTCCGGCGGTTGAGGAGGAAAAGTTAAGTTCGTCGACGGTTCCTTCCTCGGAGACGACGATTAACTCTCCGGACACGGTGGCTAACAACAAGGCAGCGGTGATGTCGCCGTCGATGATGGAGACGTTCAGGACCTGTGTGCTGTCGGGGGGCCGGATTGACAAGGAGGAGTTGAGGAGGAAGCTTACGATGCCGCAGTATCTCCGGCACGCAATGCGCGATTGCATACGTTTCCAGGATCCCACCGCAATGAGCAGTCGCATAGGCGACAAGGACGAAGAAGGTATTGGGCCTCCGGAGACGCCCATGGTAGTATTCATAAATACCCGCAGCGGCGGCCGTCACGGCCCTGTTCTTAAGGAAAGGCTGAAACATCTCATGAGTGAAGAACAGGTCATATTTTTTGCTGTATTATTTTTCATTATACAAATTTGAATGCGCTTATTTGATTAGCTTTGCTTTTAACATTATTATCGAAGAATCCCACTGCTAAACAAATAGAGGTGTTTAAGTATAATTTTAAAAATATCCTTTAAAGGCGTTTTTTGATTCAATCCAACACCTCCTAAATTTCAAACTAAGTTTGACGACGACATTTCAAGATTTGCAAAAAAAAAAAAAAAAATTTGCACAAATTTTTTATTTAAGATTTTCAATTTTTTTTAGTTTTTTAAAATTTTTCCTCAACATTTTTGGGTTGAATTGGAGCATCCCGCAAACAACAGCAGAGCCAGAGCGTTCGCCCTTTTCTCATTTTCTTCCTCATGAAAAAGAAATTGGAACAAATTAGGGGCAATTAGATGAAAGAAAAATTCACAAATTAATTATTAAAAAGCTTTAAAATTTAATTAATTGAATTATAAATATTTATTATTTATATAAATAAAATTTACAATTAAAAAATATATTTAATACTATTTATCATTCAAACAATACAGATTTATAGATAAAATAATACTTATTTATTATTGGTGGTTTTTAGAAATAAAAAATTTGTGGATTTTATGCTTAAGCATAATTCTCCCAACCGATTAAGAGGAATATCTTATTGCCTACTTTCACTTTAGTCTCTCATAGATTATGTTGGCGGAAAAAAGCCCTCAGATTATTTGTGAAAATAAAATAAAAAATCTATTGAAGTTTCAATATTATCATTGCATCTTAATTTTTATCTCAAAGACAGCAATAAATCTGAAATAATAATCACTAATGCCGAACATCGGACGTGAGTTAAGAGTATCACTTCTCTAATTTTTTAAATCAAACCCATTAAAATTTTTCATTCCCTTCCCTCCCTCCCTCCATTTCCCTCAACACCAAATGTAGGGCTTGATGGCATCTCAAATGTGATAATCCTCTTTTAGGAAAATACTTGTGCCTAGAAAAAGACATAACTAACGTTTTAATTTTAGTGAACGTAAGGAATTTTTTAGTAATATATTAATGGAAGCCATGTGAAAACTATGAATATGACGCTTTAGAATTAATATATTTCTATGAACAGATTCATGTATTAATTTATATTGAGGACATACGTGCATTGAGAGGTAGTGGACGAGCTCCACATCCCAAGTTATCCCTCAAGACCAAATTAGAACCTTTATATTCCTCCTCATGACTAATATTAAATTCTATGTACTGCAGGTTTTGGATCTTACTGATGTGAAGCCTCATGAATTTCTGGAGTACGGATTAGGTTGCCTCGAGGTGGTGGCAAGTCTTGGTGATTCTTGCGCAAAAGAAGTTCGTGAAAGAATGAGGATTATGGTATGTCGACTAGTGCAACAGAACATGTACTATCATATTCAGAATTTAAATGGTGCCCGCAGAACATTCTGAGTTCGGATTTTACTATAACAGCTTTGAGATGGGATGATATTGGCTGACAGGTTGCTGGAGGTGATGGCACAGTTGGCTGGGTATTGGGATGTCTCACTGATCTTCACAAGAAAGGCCGGGATCCAATTCCTCCAGTAGGAATTATACCACTTGGTACAGGCAATGATCTATCTCGGAGTTTTGGATGGGTAAGTATTTACATACATTGATGTGTTAGTTAGATGTGTGTTATCTTTTTCACTAATATTTGGCTTTGATATGGTATCACCGTATCAGGGAGGTTCATTTCCTTTTTCCTGGAAAGCTGCTATTAACAGGAGTCTTTTGAAGGCCAGTACTGGTCGGGTTTGTCGTCTGGATAGGTAACTTTCATTCATATAATCCGTGCTTCTTGAGAATTTCTTCAATCAAGTAGCTATCAACTTTCATTCATATAATCTGTGCTTCTTGTGAATTTCTTCAATCAAGTAGCTATCGGCAAATAAAAAAGTTGTCCAAGTCTAATGCTCGGAGACAGTAGGATTTACATTATTTCATGGGTTATATCTGGGAGGCAGTGATAATGCTTGATTTCAGGTCATCCTGACCTTCTTTCATGTTTAATATGATCCTCCTTTTCCCTCTATAGATGTTGAATCAGTGTCTTTATACTTCTTAGCATTAGATCTGATGTGCAACTTCCTCTTAAAATAATGGGTAGTGTTTTTGTTGTACATCTCTTTATAATAAACTACTTCTTTTGATCGTAATTATAAAACCTCTTTTGTAGACTACAAATGAGGTCCTATAATTAGGATTGGAGGTAATATATGATAGTGTGGTGTGTTTTAAACTTTTATTATGTATTGATATATCAATATATTAATTTCACTAGCAAACATTTTTTCTCAAAAAAGCTGTTGATGCCATGTCCGTGTTTGGGCATACAGTCCTTTCAGGTTTGATTATGCTTTGATCTCATGAAGGTTTTCAGAAAATCATGAGTATGAACGTTCTTGTTTCATTCATGGTTGGAGGGCAAAATGGAAACAAATGGAACAAGTTTGCCATTCAGCTCTAGAAAATAAATTATAACGAAGTCACTATGAATACAAAAACCTAGGTTCCCGATGGGGAAGAAAGTTGTTGATAATCCTCGACTTTGATCAGACAACAAATAAAACACAATGAAGACTCGGGATGTTCAACACTTTACATGCTCACCAATAGTTTATTGAAAGAATGAGGTATTATGGTGTGAATAAAATATAAATGCTTCTTGAATCTTATTTGTCTACACGGATTCTCTCATTCCCAAATATGTTGAAATATTTCTCAGGTGCCAAAAATTTTTGTTCTCGTATTCTTAGTTTCTAATATGCGGGGTATGTTTGGTATGAATATATGTATTTATCAGTTTGGATTTCATGCAGTTGGGAAATCTTACTTTCAATGCCAGAAGGCACAATTGTGGAAGCACCCCATTCTCTGAAGCGCACAGAAGAGTTCTCTCTTGATGAGGTTGTGGGTTCAGTTGCTCACGTCATATAGCTTCTTTAGTTTGTTGCCAACTAATTAATTATTAGATTTATACGGCATAAAATCTAGCCCTTGCCATTTGCTTTTATTTGAGCCTGGAGGGCCAATAATCTCTTGAAGAAGAAAAGAAAACTTCAAAGCAGTAGCATCAGCATAAAAGAGCAAACCGAACCCATCAATTTGCATAGCATTTCTTTACTACAAGATATTTATTCATTTAAATTCTATTGTTGTATATATGTTGTAAGTAGTTTCTTGCGTTTGCAGGGTTTAGAAGTTGAAGGAGAGTCGCCTGAGGAAGTTACTTGTTATGAGGGAGTTTTCTACAATTACTTCAGTATAGGTAATTTGACCTCTTCATTAGCAGAGACGTGGAGTCGCGCCGGCACTTGAGTGAATTTTGGCATATATCATGCCCATACCTCGTGCCTTGGTTATGTAGTCAGGAATATCTTGCGACTGAAATTACTATGCAATGGAATATCCTATGTTTCAACTCAAATGAACGTTACATTAATGCCCAATTAGTCTCTGCCTGCTATTTCTGTTTACCAGAGAAGTTTGAAAACGATGTTTTATTGCTTATTACGCATGTGTTAGACTTCAAATACCTCCATGGATTTCTAATTTTTTTTTGTAGGCAAATCCAATCACTGAGTTTTCTCGATTAATTTCACAGGAATGGATGCCCAAGTAGCTCATGGCTTCCATACTCTGCGTAATGAAAAACCTTATCTTGCAAATGGTCCAATAGCAAATAAGGTATTAAATTTCTCTCTCTGTTCCTTGAAAGACGGTTTATTTGCATCGTGCAGTATCAGCATTAACACCTACGAAATATTCATGGCCCCTAAAGATATAGTCATGCTAATGCAGGCTTATGACCTAGTCTTTATTTTTCTCTTTTGCTTTTCCAGATTATCTACTCTGGTTACAGTTGCACTCAGGGCTGGTTCTTAACACCCTGTACAAGTGACCCAGGTCTAAGGTAAGATATATTATAACCAAGTTCTTCTGATAAATCACCTATTTTTGTGGGTGTATTAAAAGGAGTGGTTTAATGGATCATTCAATTTCCCATAGTTTCAAGAAAAAGTTGTGCTCAATGAACTTCAACTAATGAAGGATAGTGACTGGCCTTTGCAATACCTCTACCGTTTCTAGTAAAAAAGACTAAAGTCTTCAGAAAACCTTTCTGATTGTAGGGGGCTTAAAAACATTCTGCGGATGCATGTCAAAAAGTTCAACTCCTTAGAGTGGGAGCAGATCCCAGTTCCTTCCAGGTACGTATATTGCACATTATATAATTTTTCTGATGCATATTATAAACTGGTGAACAAACACTGTTTTTAAAGCAGCCATCTCTAGTTGCTGGTGATTTTATATTTCGTATTTGATGGGATGTCACACTTACTCTCTTAGTTTATAAGATTCTATTTACTCTTAGTTTTTAAGATTCTATCACATTAAATTTCCGTGTCCTTTGTAAATGTCATGGTGTTTCAGTCTTATTTATGCTTCCGTTTTCTGTTTATCTTATTTTATATAACAAGGTAATGATATTTTCTTTCAGTGTAAGGGCAATAGTTGCTCTCAATCTTCATAGCTATGGAAGTGGAAGAAATCCTTGGGGTAATTTGAAACCAGAGTATTTGGAAAGGGTATAGCACTACCCCTGTACCGCTATGATGATGTGAAAGCATTCATTATCTCTCCGGGCTCTCTTTGGGTCGCAGGAAACTATTTGAGAAGCTTTTCTCACGAACGCAAATATAAACAATATCACAAGCTCACCAGTTTACACTTTGCTATGTCTTGCCATCCCTCTAACAAGAATGAAGGGAAAAATTCTTTAGAAAATTTTCTTGAAGATCGCCTGCAGACAACGGATATGCTGTTGCCTGTCATATATCTTCTTTGCAAGTACCCAAAGCCTATTGTTTTAGACCATGTTTACTCTTCCCTTTCATTTCCTTGGTGCTTTTACGTTTGACTCTGCTTCTCTGTTGCAAATTGTGTGATATAACGAACCTGACAGGGTTTGGGATAATGCACTTTCAGAGAGGCTTTGTCTCAGCCAATGTGGATGATGGACTTCTGGAAATATTTGGTCTAAAGCAAGGATGGCATGCATCATTTGTAATGGTTGAACTAATCTCTGCAAAGCACATAGCTCAGGTATTATCCCAATATATGATGGAACATATTATATCATGTCAAGAATGAGCCAAAATCAGGATCATATTGGTCCGATATGTTCGATTGGTTGGTACTACAAGTGTATGTGAAGTTGGATAATTGTGTATATGTTTCAGGCAGCAGCAATTCGATTGGAAATAAGAGGTGGGGAGTGGAGAGATGCTTATATGCAAATGGATGGAGAACCCTGGAAGCAGCCTTTGAGAAGTGAATTCTCTACCTTCGTTGAAATCAAGAGGGAGCCTTTCCAATCGTATATGATTAGTGGAGAGTAACTAATTGCTTCAAACAACAAGTCATCATATATGCATGTAAATTAATTACGTGTAATTAATTAATTATAGGCATTGGAAAGGTCTGCTGCACCATTGTTAGACCCTCTCCCTTTTTTGGATGACGGGAAAGAGCGAGTACATATACATGGTCAGATTTTGACTACAGTCATTAATTGTTAGATATCATTCATTTTACTTGAGCTATTTTAATTGTTAATTCTTTCAACATAATTTTTTTTATTAACAAATGCGAATCTATAATCTTATCTAGGGGATATTCTCAATGAATAAGATATGGATAATGTTGTTGCTGGGTATCCTATACATACACAGGCATTGCCTGGACCTTGAAATAGAGTCTTTCAGATGAAGAATGATACAAGTCAGAGTTTCTATGAAACTCAATTCCTTATGCTCATTCTCTTTCTTTTCTCTCGGTTTCTTGCTATGATGACTGATGCTCACGTTGAAAGGCGTCACTACCTCCCCCTACAATATTACTTGCAGGGTATAATCTGAGATCGCTTCTGTTCAAAGATAAAGACCTATTCTTTTGATCCACGCACTTCACTATTCGAGCGTTTAACTGCAACAACCAAAGAGATCTTCCTTCTAGCGGAGAGTAACCAAACTCAAACAAATAGAACAAAAGTGAAATCCCAGAAGTGACCCCTGTGATGATGAAAAGCCCTCCAAAGCTGGACACAGTTAGACTAACGGGACTGTTTGGGATTGATGATCCCCTTTCGCTTTCAGATATGATTCCGGCGGAGAAGTGCTTGCCCTTAATCCTTGCAAATTTTTCTTCATCTTGGGTCACATTTAGGATTGCCCTCGAAAAATAAGACACCAACGGAGATTTTGGTGGAAATGCCTAACCATAAAACACAACGTTAGCATAATAGCAGTCTATGAAAATTGAAGGCTTAAATTTATTTTTGTCTCTTCATTATTACAAATCTTTATTTTGAACCCGAAAACATGCATTATCCCTAGCAATTCCTAATATCCAATTTATCTAAACTTTTGGTTGTCAAAATAAACGAATAAATTGGCGTCCTATAAACAAAATACTATAATATTATTGGATGGCATGATTGGAATGATATAATTAATATGCCAGACATTATTTATTTATTTCTTATACTTGAGAGCAAATCAATGCTTAAAAGAAGTCTTTTAGTGCATGAGAGTATCAACCTAAACATTTAAATAATGTGCATGAGAGTATCAACCTAAATATTTAAATAATATATATGACTGGGTTTAATTTTTTTTTTGGGCCAACATATGACTGGGCTTAATTACACATTTGAATTTCTCAACCCTTGTGCTCCTTGAACCTTTTGTTTTCAATGAAAAAAACTTGTATTTAAGGCAAAATTGAACGAGGGAGAACTTACGAAGCCGAGACCAGCAGTTTGGTAGGTTGGCCCCACCATAGCATACTTGGAGCCGAATTTTGAGAGGAAGGGCCTCACGTAGGGGATTTCATCAAAGATAGCAGCAACCTCACCACTAGCGAGAGCTCGATCATATTCTTCAGGCGTCTCGTATGGTTTCAACCTTGACTCATCCTTGAATCCCAACTGATTCTTCAGAAACATTTTGACGAAAGACCCCTTCTGATACCCCACAGAGTAATTATTATTTTTTATTTCTTTTACATCGATGAACTTAGGCTGCAATCTTTGAACAGTTAACATGGAAGTCAAACTTGCAGTGTAACTTTGTGTTATGATGAGCACCACAAATACCCATAGGATCAGCACAAAACGTGACCAATTGTTCTCTAATCTTTCCTCTGTGTCACCATTAAACATAGTACGTGAAATTTAATGATGAATATATGGCTGTGGCCTAGAGATCATGAAATATGTAATGTATGAGTTTAAAGAGAGGAGATTTACTGTGAGCAAAGACTAAGGTGGAGAAAGAAAACCAGAACACCATCCCAAGTTGTTGCTGCGGTGATGCTTGAAATTCTGGGTTTGTTTGCCGCTCGTGAAGCCATATAGTGATACCTGTGAGGAGGACGAATGCTGCACCAGTGGTCAGCCAAAGACTTGGACTCAAAGGCTTTAAGAAGATCCACATGTTTTGTCTCTCATCGTACTTCATCGAAACAACCATTGACACCCCAGATTCTGAAAACGGCAATGTAAAGTCAACATGTTCCGCACTGTTAGCTACGATAGTTATGTCTCCAACCACAGCATCATGCTCCTACCAGTATAAAAAAATGCATATTTACTTGTTATGTGATCTTTCATCGAAAAGGTTGTAGTAATATGCTTGGGCAAATAGACAGTGTACTAGATTTTCATCCTTCAAAGAAAACTTGCCTTAAAAATCCCTCCAGAGGACCCATTGCTTCTAATCCGCAACGGTACAAACTCATATGGAAGAGGAAAAGGTAAAGCTTTTATCACTTCCAGAAACACATCAATACTAAAGCCAGGGACATCCGGAGTGCTATTTGACGACCGCCTTTCCACCTTCAAAAATTCAACAAAACCCTTTCTTACTGGGACCCTAATTCTCAACTTGGTTGGTTGATTTGTTGTGTACCCCGGCCATATTGGTGGCATCAGTTTCCCTCTTGAACTCCCATGATTGTCGAGGAATAGTCCTCTCTGTGGGCTCCAACGTCCAATGATCCTCTCTTTGCGTCCTACCACGTCCTACCACATTGAATACTTCAAGCTCTAAGGGTTCGAGTTGTCCTTCACTCAAATTGAAATTCCTAGAGAGGCCTTCAAATTTAGTACTTAGGATTCTATCTATAAGTGTGTCATTACCCTTATAATTTGCAAACGTAGACTCTACTGCCATGGCGATGGCCCAAACTGTGTCATAAGCCCAAAGTCCAAACAAGGTTAAGGAAGAAGACACACTGCCTGAGTTAATTGACGAAGCTTTCCATCTTTTTCTGAAACTTGTAAGCCTTCTTGACTTTTCCAGTCTTGGCCTTATCCCCACGATACCTTGCATAGAATCCATCACTTTCGGACCCAGAGGGGCTAACACATTGGATAACCCGTCGGTGACTATCCACCCATACCCTTCCGTCATCATTCCAGCCTTGTTCACTGCTGAGAAGAATTTGGGCCCAACAAGACTAGTCATGTGAACCAGAATTATTCTTTTTCGACTCTGATTGAGCTTCTTCAGCTGCTCTAGAATTTCATATTCCTCAGAATTCGGGTCGATGGCAATTCTATAAGGCACCCGTGTGTTAACTTTCTCCAAGGCCTCTGTGAGATATGGGATCAGACCCTTGCCAAAGTCGGTGTCTTCGTAGATTGGGATGATTTCGTGCCATCCGTAAGCTTCAACAATGGCAGCTATAGCCTGCACCTGTGAGCGATCATCTTGTGCTGTCCTTATGAAGAATTTGCTCCGGAGCGGAGGAAGAGATGGACTTGTGGCGGAAAACGAGACGATGGGCACATGAGATTTGTGATGTTACGAAGCTCGCCTGTTCTGAAAATAAAGGTCCGATAATTGCATGCACGTTTTCATTCTTCATCAGGTCGGAAGCTGCATGGGTATAATTCCATGAGCTATTAAACCAAGCAACGGACGCTTTATTTTAATAAAATTTGTGAACTAATATTTCAATTGTCGATAAAAATATATTACCTGCAGATGCTGCTGTGACGACATCATTCTCAGAATCTCTGATTCGAAGATCAAGTCTTGTTTGGTAATGAGAATAGTGTTTATATAAGTCGTCATGAGCCATTTGGATGCAGCGCATGGCCATGCTTCCAACTGAGGAGTTGAGATCAAGAACTACGCCTACTGGTATTTGTGCCTGCTTCGCCTTCGAAGTTCCTGCAGAGAACCAAAGCAAAGTACAAAAGCGGCAAAACCAGAGGCAAAGGTTAAAGCTCCTCTTTTTCTTATGGCTTGACCTCGATGCTGGTTTCAGGTCCATGAATGGGCGGGCTAATATCTTGCGAAAAACCACGCATGTCAGATACTAGGAAGAAGGTCACCGGTATATATATCAGCGAATTATTTCAGTCTTTGATGGGCATAACAAGGTAATGATAAACAAATAAAGATTGAATATTGTATTCTTAAAAGTTCGGTTCACATGTACTCCATCACCAGTGAGAAACCAGCGTCTCCAAGTCAAAGACGGCTCGCATCAACGACAATTCCACAAGCAAGTCGTAATCAAACTTCAACGACCTTCTTAATTACTCCCACCGTCCATTATATACAGATTTTTTTTGCCAGACCATAATATAAAGATTTTTATGCTTTAATTTACTTTGTTTTCTAAATGTATATTTTTTTAAAAAAATTATTCCAATTAGATGCGCATTTTAAAGACCTTTTTCATTATGAGTAGTAGTTGAAACACAAATAATAAAGAATAATTTAGAGAAATTAAAACACGTTTATATATTTAAAACACGTTATGTTTAAGAGATGCTTCCCGCAATTAAGATTGGATGGTGCATGTTGATCAATTAATTCTCACTGCACATGGGAATGTTTGGAATTGTGGTTAGCTCGCTTAAAAGTGGCTTTTTGGTTTCAAAAGCTGGATGGGTCATTTACTCATATGCTGGGGATAGCTTTTAACGTTAAGTGCTTCTGGCAAAAAAAAAAAAAAATAGTAACATGATACTAGTACTCCTTAAGATACAATTAACCATGTTTTATTTGAAAAATTAGTTAAATACAATAAATATGTCAAAATTAAATTTTATTTTTAAAAAAAATGCCCTCATTCATAAAAATGTGGGTGAAAGGGAGAGTGAGTGGAAAAAGAAAGAGAGAGAATGAGAAGGAAAAAGATATGAGAGTGACGTTTAATTAATTGAGAATAAAAAAAAAAGTATTAAATGTTAAAAAAACTCTAAGATGAAGAAATATATTATATGGACAAAAAGAATAACTGAATGAATCTAAAAGAATATACGGTTATGTAAGTTAAATTTTATAAATTTTAATATGTGCGCTTATTATTTCGCTATTGTCTTTTTATCAACTATTATTTTGCTATTGTTAATTATTAAAATATGTATGTATATTTATAAGTTCATATGTGAAATATTGGTAGTCATTATTTTATTATTATTATTAATTGTTAAAATGTATATACCTACTTATAAATTTACTTATAAACTTGATTTAAAAGCAAACTTTTAATTGAGATTTACGAAATACGAAGTACATAGTGAAAGAAGTTTTATCTTGACTTACGTGAAACGTGTTTAAATTGATAATATAAGTGTCCATTTGGAATAGCTTATAAGTAACTTTTTAATCGTGATTTTCAGAATATGAGGTAAGTATATGAGAAGAGTTTTGTCTCGATTTACATGAAATATACTTATAAGGGATTTTTAACCCTATGCCAAACAAGCCCTAAGTGGTGACAAACAAGCACTTTAATACATATAACTAGCAACTTGACCCAAATTTTTTATAATATAATGTTTATCCAACTTGTGGCTTGATGGTGAAAGTGTTCTGTTCTCTCCTTTACAGGCCATGAGTTTGAATTGGCAGATTCCCGCACACAAGATGCCATATATTATAATTATAGGTTAGGAGAGGGAATAAGATTTACATCTGTAACAAATACTCAATTTATAGTTATACGCCTCTCAGCTTGTAATTTCAATTTGTGAATGTATACCTGTATCATAGTTATACAATTTTTTTTTGCCGGTTGGTATATACCCACTACTTTCGGGACAACGCAAGAACAAAAGAATGGGGCGAATAAATAGAGGTGACTTTAATATGACCTTTTTTTCTTCATTTACGTACAAGGTTGGAATTCATAATCTTAGTTATGAGATATTATCGTATTTATAGCATGTACATAAGTTTGAATGGCTGGAAGCATGCCTAGTTTACATAAATTTTGAACCGGTATATTTACATGGTCTGAATTTGAATACAGTGGTTAACTGCTAGAGATTATTCATTTTACTCGATTTTCTTTAATTATTTTATTTATTCTTTAAAATAACTATTGGACATGGTATGCTTGGTCAAATTTAAGTATCATCAATATTAAAGAAGAATAATTCTTTCAATATAATTTTTTATTAACAAATGCGAATCTATAATCTTATTTAGGGGATATTGTCAACCCATGAGATATACTACCTCTGGTCCTAATTATAAGGGCTAATTAACTAATTTGAAGATATTAAGAAAATAAACTAAGTTAGTTATTTGTAATAATAAGTGTTGTTTTTTCTAAAATATCCTTACTAATTAAGTGTATTGACTAAAACTATAATTATTAGAAGGATTACTTTAAGAAAAAATGCATAAATATTAGAAACAAAGTAGATAAAGGTCTTATATTTAAGATCAAAATTAAAATCAAATGAGATCTTACATTAAGGACCGGAGGTAGCACATAAGTTTGTTGTAGGATATTTTATTCATATGCAGCCATTGCCTAGACACTTAAAAGTGTCTTTCAAATGAAGAATATAACAAGTGATCAGAGTTTGTAAGAAACTAAAATCCTATTCTTTTCTCTCTACTTCTTCTTGTGCTGACTGATGAGCACGCTGAATGCTGTCACTATGCTCTGGAGAAGGTAGCTGGTCTTGTTCATTCTGGGCAGTAATGGCTCTATCTCCCTCTACAATATTATTACTTGCAGGGAATACTTTGACATCGCTTCCATTCAAAGATAAAGAGCTGTCCTTTCGATCCAGGAACTTCAATATTCGAGCCTTTAACTGCAACAACCAAAGAGATCTTTCGTCTGACTGACAGTCCCCAAACTTAAACAAATAGAACAGAAGTGAAATCCCAGAAGCGACCCCTGTGATGATGAAAAGCCCTCCAAAGCTGGACACAGTAAGACTAGTCTGACTGTTTGGGATTGATGATCCACTTTCATCTTCAGATATGATTTTGCTGGAGAAGTACTTGGCCCTAATCCTCTCAAATTTTTCTTCATCTTGGGTCACATTTAGGATTGCCCTTGAAAAATAAGATACCAACGGAGATTTTAGTGGAAATGCCTGACCATAACATATATCAACGTTAGCATAATAGCACTCGATGATAATTGAAGGCTTGTGGGGAGGGGGGAAAAAAGGATATTGAAGGCTTAAATATTGTCTCTTTGTTATTACAAATCTTTATTTTGATCTCACTCAATTCAATAGTTATTTTTACCCTTTCACATTAGCGGTTGTACAATTAAGGAACTGTCTTTCAAGAGGCAACAAAAATTTGAAATTTCTAAAGTCAAAGATGCATGGAAGACTTCACTCGTTTCATTGAATTTGAATGGACGACTTTACTGGTTTCTTTTCTTTTTCTTTTTTTTTTTAACTCACCATATTATGATTCACTCTTCATAACATATAACATTTGTATTACAAATTGATAACAAAATATAAAGAATAGTACGTACATCAAATTTTTATGCTATTATGTTAAGTTTTACAATCACATGTGACCATTTATACTGTTTTTAAAATATTAGCATTTATTTAATAGTATTTAATTATAAACTCACATAAAAAAAAACTAGGGTACATAGGTATGTATGATTGAAGAATTTGATATAACGAATATAAAAAACTTAATTTAAGTATTTTATAATACAAAAATTTTTAAACTTAGAAGTATATCTTAATCCTAATAAGTTATATTGGGATCAACTCATCTAAGTTTTTGGTTATCAAAATTAAACAAATAAATGGGTGCCTTATAAACAAAATATTACTATACTACTGGAGCATAATTGGAATCTTATAATTAACATTGTACCATTCGTTATTCCCCCCCTATTCTCCAATCCTTAAAAAATTCTTAGATAGAGCTGAGGGAGTATCAACTAAAACCTTTGAATAATATATGTGCGTGTAGGTGTATGTATATGTGAAAGGGTTTAACTACACATTTGAATTGTTCAACATTCGTGTTCCTTAATTAAACCTTTTGTTTTCAGTAAAAGAAACTTGTATTCAAGGCAAGATTGAACAAGAGAGAACTCACAAAGCCAAATCCAGCAGTCTTGTAAGTTGGCCCCACCATAGCATACTTGGAGCCGTATCTTGAGAGGAAGAGCTTCGCGTAGGGGATTTCATCAAAGAAAGTAGCAATCTCACCACTGGATAGAGCTCGATCATATTCTTCAGGTGTCTCGTATGGCTTCAACTTTGACTCCGTGAATCCCAGTTGATTTTTCAGAAGCCTTTTGACGAAGGACCCATTCTGACGTCCCACACAGTAATTATTCTTTTTTATGTCTTTTACATCGATGAACCTAGGCTGCAAACTTTGTACAGTTAACATGGAACCTAAACTTGCAGTGTAACTTTGTGTTATGATTAGCAACGCAAATACCCATAAGATCAGCACAAAAAGCGACCAATTGTTCACTAATCTTTCCTCTGTGTCACCATTAAACATGGTAAACATTAGTGATAAATACATGATTGTCAACTTATAACCACGAAATATATTATCTCCTGTTCTTAATATAAGATTTAGTTTGCAGTTCAAATTACATTATAAACTAAATCTTATATTAAGGAGTGGATGTAGTATATGAGTTTAAGAGGAGATTTACTGTGAGCAAAGACAAAGGTGGAGAAAGAAAACCAGAACATCATGCCAAGTTGTTGCTGTAGGGATCCTTCAAATTCTGTGTTTGTACGATGTTCGTGAAGCCATATAATGATCCCAGTGAGGAAGAAGGCTGCACCTGTGGTCAGCCAAAGACCTGGACTCAAAGGCTTCAAGAAGATCCACATGTTTTGTTTCTCATCGTGCTTCATCGAAACTACCATTGACACTCCGGCTTCTGGCAAGGTAAAGTCAACATGTTCAGCACGGCTAGCTGTAATAGTTATGTCTCCGACCACAGCATCATATGTCTACCAGTATAAATGAAAATTCTTGTCATTATAATATCCCTCAAAAAGCTTGTAGTAATACAATTGGACAAATAGGTAGTACTACATCCTGTTTTAAATATAAGAGCCAGTTGATTAAGTAAATTAAGAAATTTCATTAAGTTAGTTATTTGTAATAAATAGGTGTTATTTTCTTTAAAATGCTTTTACTAATGATAGATATTAGCTAGAGCTACCATTTAATAAAATCTTTAATATATACAACTCTTACAAAGACTATTTTTCAAAAAAAAAAAAAGACAAGGTAGATTAAAGTTTTATATTTAGAATTAAATTGAAGGTGAAATTAATTTTTATATTAAGGGCAGGAGATAGTATATATACTGGGATTTTTATCCTTTAACGAAAACTTGCCTTTGTCTCAATTTGGCGAACAAGCTCTTCATAGGACGTAGCTTCCTCGTTCTTCTTCTGAAATGGGAGAAACTCATATTCAAGAGGAAAAGGTAAAGCTTTGACCACTTCCAGAAACATCTGGAGTTCTATCTGAAGACCGCCATTCCACCTTCAAAAATTCAACAAAACGCTTTCTTACTGGGACCCCAATTCTCAATTTCGGTGGTTGATTTGTTGTGTCCCCCGGCCATATTGGTGACATTAGTTTCTCTCTTGAACTCCACTGTTTGTCGTGGAATAGTCCTCTCTGTGGGCTCCAACATCCAATGACCCTCTCTTTGAGTCCTACCACATTAAATACTTTAAGCTCTAAGGGTTCGAGTTGTCCTTCACTCAAATTGAAATTCCCAGAGAGGCCTAGGAATTTTATATCTTGGATTTCATTTAGAAGTGTATCATAATCCTTAGAATTTGCAAACGCAAACTCTACTGCCATGGCTATCGCCAAACTGTGTCATAAGCCCAAAGTCCAAACAAGGTTAAGGGAGAAGACACGCTACCTGATTTAATTGACCAAGCTTTCCATCTATCTCTGAAAATTGTAAGCCCTCTAGACTTTTCCAGTCTTGGCCTTACCCCCACGATACCTTGCATAGAATCCATCACTTTCGGACCCAGAGGGGCTAACACATTGGATAACCCGTCGGTGACTATCCACCCATACCCTTCTGTCATCATTCCAGCTTTGTTCACTGCTGAGAAGAATTTGGGACCAACAAGACTAGTCATGTGAACAAGACATATTCCTTTTCGACTCTGATTGAGCTTCTTCAGCTCCTCTAAAATCTCATATTCCTCAGAATTCGGATCGATGGCAATTCTGTAGGGCACTCGGGTGTTAACTTCCTCCAAGGTCTCTGTGAGGTATGGGATCAGACCCTTGCCAAACTCGGTGTCTTCGTAGATTGGGATGATTTCGTGCCATCCGTAAGCTTCAACAATGGCAGCTATAGCCTGCACCTGTGAGCGATCATCTTGTGCTGTCCTTATGAAGAATTTGCTCCGGAGCGGAGGAAGAGATGGACTTGTGGCTGAAAAGGAGACGATGGGCACCTGAAATTTGTGCCCAAGTCGTATTACGAAACTCGCTTGTTCTGAAGATAAAGGTCCGATAATTGCATGCACGTTTTCATTCTTTATCAAATCGAGAGCTGCATGGGTATAATTTCATGAGCTATTAAACTAATCAGTGGACACTTTATTTTAATTAATAAAATTTGTGAACTGATCTTTTAATTGTCGAAGGAATATGATTCAAAATGTCAAAATATATACCAGTTGACTGAAAATAACAATTTGGGGCTGCAACTGATAAAAATATATTACCTGCAGATGCTGCAGTGACGGCATCATTCTTAGAATCGCTGATTCGAAGTTCAAGTCTTGTTTGGTAATGAGAATACTGTTTATAGAAGTCATCATGAGCCATTTGGATGCAGCGCACAGCCATACTTCCGATTGAGGATTTGAGATCAACCACTACGCCTATTGGTATTTGTGCTTGCTTCGCCTTCGAAGTTTCTGCAAAGAACCAAAGCAAAGTGCAAAAGCCACGAAACCAGAGGCAGAGGTTAAAGTTCTTTTTCTTCTGGCTTGACTTCGATGCTGGTTTCAAGTCCATGAAGGGGTGGGCTAAATCTCTTGAGGAGAACCACGCATATCAGAGAGACTAGGAAGGTGACATGTTCATCTGTTGATATCAACGAATTCTTTTCGGTCTTTGATGAGAGGACCAATTGTGATCAAACTTTGTCGGTGCATAACAAGATAAAGATTGAATATTGTATTCTTTCTTTGAAAGTTCGGTTCACAATCTCCGTCATCAGTGAGAAACCAGCATCCAAGTCAGACAGTCCGCATCAACGACAGTTCCACAAGCAAGTTGCAATCAAACTTCAACGACGATGTTAATTACTACCACCTTCCATAATATAAAGATTTTTATGACTTATTTTAATTATAAATGTAAAACCTCTATTTACTTTATTTTTTAAATATATAATTTTTTTAAAAATTACATGTGCATGTTAAAAGGTTTTTTATAAGGAGTTCAAACACAAATAATTTAAAAACGTACTTTGGAGAAATTAAGACACATTATATTTGAGAGATGAATCCATATTTAAGACAGGATGGTGTATACAATATACTAGTATAAATTGGAATCAGTTTTTGTGCTCATCGTTTTGATAATTATCTTAAACTCATCAGATTTAGATTATCCATATCTCATTTAGATGCTCAGGATTTAATTTATTTTTTAGTTTTATTTTTTTAAAATAATTATTTTAATATGGATGAAATCTAAAATAAAGACAATCTCTTAACTATCTTTTTTTTTAAAAATAATTTTTTATTTAAAATAATTAATTAAAAAATTTAAACCTAAACAGTTCAAATCAGATATAAATGATCTATATTTAATGAATTTAGGGTCCTCAACTAGTTAAGTATAAATAATTTAATTTTCCCACTTGTACGGAAGCGAACTAAAGCCTCACTACACATGGGTATGTTTGGAATTGTGGTGGGCTCGCTTAAAAGTGCCGTTTTGGTTTCGAAAGCTTGTCGGGTCATTTACTCATCTTTGGGAAGGCTTTTAAAATTAAGTGCTTCAGCCCAAAACTCATTAAAAGCCATGGCGGACGAGAACTGCTTGTTATTGCTTTTGGGGGCGTCACGTGGAAAGGAAGCATTAATATTTAATAATTAATTGAATGAACAAATTAATAATTGGGAAAATTATAATGATGTCTCAAACAAAGAAAACAATTGAAAAACAAATCTCAGAGGTCACTATAAGACTTGTTATTATAGACTATTAAAATTATTATTGGGATGTCTTGGTAATTATTTTTTTTTATGAGACTTGATTGTAATTCTTCTTTAATAATTTAAATTGATGCTCTGATATTACTGTCATATGGGTGATGTAAATTTTTATATGGATACGTGTTCTTTCATTATTGTTAGATGTTAAAATATTTATGCATCTATGAAATATTGACGTGTGACGTTATTTATCATCGCAAGTTGTTTTGGTTTCAACTTATCATCGCAAGTTGTTAAAATGTACGTACACGCACTTATAAATTCTCTTATAAATTTGACCCAAATTTTATGCTACCATGTTTATCCAACTTGTGACTTGAAGCTGAAAGTGTTCTGTTTTCTCTTTTCGGGCCATCAGTTTGAATTGGCATTTTCACACACACACACACAAGATGCCTTATAAATTATAATAATAGGTAGCAGAGGGAGTGAGATTCACTTCTTTATAATGTATCAAATACTCCACTCGTCCTATTTATAGTTATTATACGCCTCTCAGCTTGTAATTTCAATTTGCGGATGCATACCTGAATCGTTTTTATATATATATATATATTTTTTTGGTTGGTATATACCCACTACTTTCGGGACAGCTCAAGATCAAAAGAATGGGGTGAATAGATAGAGATGACCTTTTTAATATGATATGATCTGTTTTCTTCATTTACGTACAAGGTTCTAATTCATAATCTTATTTATGAGATATTATCGTATTTATATAACATCTACATAAGTTTGCATGATATCTTATTATCGTAGAAGCATTTCCTAAACACTGAAAAAAATAATACGAGGGAGATCGAGTTGGTATGAAACTCAATTCTTCAAACTTACTCGGTTTCTTTTCGCCCGATATCTAGTTATAGTCAGAAGCACATATATTTCATATAAACTTGTAAGTTTCGAAGATCCAAATCCATGTAGTAACTGGTCTTGTTCATTCACAAGGCAAAACTCTATCAGCAGCGAGGGTAAGCAGTAATTATGGCTGTATCTCCCTCTACAGTATTATTAATTGCAGGATGTACTCTGGAATCACTTCTGTTCGCAGATAAAGAGCTATTCTTTCGTTCCAAGCACTTCACTATTCGAGCCTTTAACTGCAACAACCAAAGAAGTCTTTCTTCTGAACGAGAGTACCCAAAATTGAACAAATAGAACAGAAGTGAAATCCCAGAAGCGACCCCTGTGATGATGAAAAGCCCTCCAAAGCTGGACACAGTAAGACTCACGGGATTGTTTGGGATTGATGATCCATATTCATCTTCATATGTGACTCCGCTGGAGAAGTACTTCCCCCTAATCCTTTCGAACTTTTCTTCATCTTGAGTCACATTTAGGATTGCCCTCGAAAAATAAGGGACCAGCGGAGATTTTAGTGGAAACGCCTGACCGCATATATACAACATATATCAACGTTAGCATTCTATGACAACTGAAGGCTTGAGCATATATTTGTGCCTCTTTGTTATTACAAACCTTTATTTTGATCTCATTCAATTCAATAGCTATTTTCATCCTTCAACACAGCGTTAGAACAATTAAGAAACTGACTTTCAAGAGGCAACTAAAAATTTGAAATTTCTAATCACCGATGCATGGAAGACTTTACTAGTCTTTATTAATTGACTGATTGTGAGGGGAGCACTTGACTAATTTCAATTTCTTTTTTGGCCTGAATGATTAATTTCATTTATATCTCAACATAATATGATTCACTCTTCATAAATTTTTTAAACATATAAAATTTGTATTAAAAATTGATAACGAAATATAAAAAATACGACACATACTAAACGCATAAGTCGTACCCCCTCTGGTCTCATATGCAAGGGGGAAAAAATAACTACCATAGATTAATGAATAAAATTGGATTATTTTTTTAAAAAAATTCCCCTATTTTATTCACACTCGACAAACATATAAAAAATAAATGGGTGTTTCGACAAGCGCTCTATCAATCTTTTATAAACATACTTTGAATTCAAAAGCAAGTCCGAACTTCAATAAACTCATCATGAAACTCAACTTGTTTGAAGTTTTAGTTATCAACAAATAAATGGGCGCTACATATAAACAAAATACTGCTATATCACTGGAGGGCATAATTGGAATGTTATTAATTAATAGGGAAAATTGCAACAAAATCCCGCCCAAAGGAATAAACTATAAAAAAGTCTCTTAAAATCATCAAATTATTCTGAAGTCCCAAGGACTTCATTGCAAGAAAATTCATTTGTTTAACTACCAAATTACCTCTTTTTTTTTTTTAAAATTTGTATTGACAACTGAAATAGCAGTCGTTGACAATTTAAGATGTAAGGATTAACAACTATCAACTCATGCATTATATTTTGTGATATACTGAGAAAATATATTGTCAATACTAGCGACAATAGTTGTTAATCCTTACACTTTAAGTTCTCAATGACTGCTCTTTCAGTTGTCAATACAAAATTAAAAAAAAGATAATTTGGTAATTAAACAAACAAAATTTTTTGCAATAAGCTTTCTTGAGACTCTAGAATAATTTAATGATTTTAAGCGACTTTTTTGTATTTAATTCATTTAGGTGGGACCTTATTGTAATTTTTTCTAATTAATATATAGGCATTCTTTGCTTGTTTCTTATATTTGACCAAATCAGTCTTTTAAAAAAGGCCCCTATGGTACATATGTGATATGACACCAGAGGGAGTATCAACTTAAACCTTTGAAACAATACACATGCATGAACGAGTTTAATTAAACACTTGAATTGTATTGCTCGGCATTTGTATATGTTAAACTTTTGTTTTCAATAAGATTAAAAGACTTCTATTCAAGGCAAGATTGAACAAGAAAGAGAACTCACAAAGCCGAATCCCCCAGTTTTGTAGGTTGGTCCCACACTACCATACTTGGAGCCGTATTTTGAGAGGAAAAACTTCACGTAAGGGATTTCATCAAAGATAGCAGCGACCTCACCACTAGCGAGAGCTCGATCATATTCTTCAGGCGTCTCGTACGGCTTCAACTTTGTCTCGTCCTTGAAACCCAATTGATTTTTCAGAAGCATTTTGATGTAGGACCCCTTCATATACCCCACAGAGTAATTGTTCTTTCTTATCTCATTCACATCAATGAACTTAGGCCGCAATCTTTGTACGGTTAACATGGAAGCCAAACTTGCGGTGTAACTTTGTGTTATGATGAGCACCACAAATACCCATAAGATCAGAACAAAACGCGACCAATTGTTCACTAATCTTTCCTCTGTCACCATAAAACATAGTGCGTAAAATTTAATGATAAATATGACTGTCGACCTAGAGATCATGAAATATGTAATGGAAGAGTTTACGAGGAGATTTACTGTGAGCAAAGACTATGGTGGAGAAAGAAAACCAGAACATGATGCCAAGTTGCTGCTGTGGGGACCCTTGAAATTCTGTGTTTGTACGACGTTCGTGAAGCCATATAATGATACCTGTGACGACAAAGGCTGCACCTGTGGTCAGCCAAAGGCCTGGACTCAAAGGCTTTAAGAAGATCCACATATTTTCTCTCTCATCGTGCTTCATCGGAACAACCATTGACACGCCAGATTCTGAATATGGCATCGTGAAATCAACATGGTTCGTACGATTAGCTACAATAGTTATGTCCCCAACCACAGCATCATAGTTCTACAAGTATTAAACAAAAAAATTACATTTACTTGTTACATTATCTTTCAAAAAACTTGAATTAATATGCTTGGACAAATATATTAGACAGTATACTATGATTTTTATCCTTTAACGAAAACTTGCCTGTTGCTCAATTTGAAGAACAAGATCATCATAAGACTCGGTACTTTCTCCATTCTTCTTCTGGAATGCGATAAACTCATATGGAAAAGGAAAAGGTAAAGGCTTGAGCACTTCGTTAAACAAATCAATAGTAAAGCCAGAAACATCTGGAGTACTATTTGAAGGCCGTGTTTCTACCTTCAAAAATTCATTAAAGCCCTTTCTTACGGGGACCCCAATTCTGAACTTGGTTGGTTGATTTGTTACGTCCCCCGGCCATATTGGTGGCGTTAGTTTCAATCTTGAACTCAAATGATTTTCGTGGAATAGTCCTCGCTGCGGGCTCCAACATCCAATAACCCTCTCCTTGCGTCCTACCACATTGAATACTTCAAGCTCCAAGGGTTGGAGTTGTCCTTCACTCAAATTGAAATTCCCAGAGAGGCCTAGGAATTTTATATCTTGGATTTCATTTAGAAGTGTATCATAATCCTTAGAATTTGCAAACTTGGACTCTACTGCCATGGCTATCGCCCAAACTGTGTCGTAAGCCCAAAGTCCAAACAAGGTTAAGGGAAAAGACACATTACCAGATTTAATTGACGAAGCTTTCCATCTATTTTTGAAAATTGTAAGCCCTTTAGACTTTTCCAGTCTCGGCCTTACCCCCAAGACACCTTGCATAGAATCCATCACTTTCGGAGCCAAAGGGTCTAACACATTGGATAACCCACTGGTGACTATCCACCCATACCCTTCTGTCATCTTTCCAGCCTTGTTCACTGCTGAGAAGAATTTCGGACCAACAAGATTAGTCATGTGAACAAGAAATATTTTTTGACTCCGATTGAGCTTCTTAAGCTCATTCAAAATCTCATATTCCTCAGAATTCGGATCGATGGCAATTCTGTAGGGCACTTGGGTGTTAACTTCCTCCAAGGTCTCTGTGAGGTATGGGATCAGACCCTTGCCAAACTCGGTGTCTTCGTAGATTGGGATGATTTCGTGCCATCCGTAAGCTTCAACAATGGCAGCTATAGCCTGCACCTGTGAGCGATCATCTGGTGCTGTCCTTATGAAGAATTTGCTCCGGAGCGGAGGAAGAGATGGACTTGTGGCTGAAAAGGAGACGATGGGCACCTGAAATTTGTGCCCAAGTCGTATTACGAAACTCGCTTGTTCTGAAGATAAAGGTCCGATAATTGCATGCACGTTTTCATTCTTTATCAAATCGAGAGCTGCATGGGTATAATTAATATGAGGAGCCATTAGAAATAGAGGATTAAACTTCTTAAAAAAGGAATTCAAAGTGTTAAAATATAAATCAGTTGACTGAAAATAACATTTTAGGGCTGCAACTGAGAAAAATATATTACCTGCAGATGCTGCTTGGACGACATTATTCTCAGAATCCCGGGTTCGAAGATTCAATCTTGTTTGGTAATGAGAATACTGTTTATAGAAGTCATCATGAGCCATTTTCATGCAGCGAATGGCCATTCTTCCAACTGAGGAGTTGAGATCAACAACCACCCCTACTGGTATATGTGTTTCCTTGGCCTTCGAAGATTCTACAAAAAAACATAACAAAGAACAAAAACAACGAAACCAGCAGAGGCAAAGGTTAAAGCTCTTCTTTTTCATCTGGCTCGACATGTTCAAGCTGATTTTATAATTTAGCTACTCTCATCTCATATATACATATATATATATATATATACACACATATATATAGATAGAGAGAGCCAAGCCAAGTCAAGTCCATGAAGGGCCAGGCTAGAATCTTGAGAGGAAACACACATATCGGAGACGAGGAAAGTCACGTGCTCATCTTCATAGGTTCTGCCTCTAGCTTCCTTGAAGTTTCGATGGCGAGGAAAGTCACATGTTTATCTTCATAGGTGCTGTCTCTAGCTTCCTTGAAGTTTCGATGGTGCTATACCAATGAATTCCTTCAGTCTTTGATGAGAGGGCCCATTGTGAATTTGTGATCAGACTTTGTTTGGGCATGGTAAAATAATGATAGATCCAGATTCATGAAGTGACATACTCCAGATAGAATATTCTGATCTTTCTTTGGAAGTTCGTTTCTATATAGATTATTTAATTTCCCAACTTTTATATATGGAATTGAGCAAGGACGCAGCACATAGATGCAACTTTTGACGTGAATTGTTTGTCTCCCCAGAAAAGAAAGACAAAAAAATTAAGCTTGTTTACTTGAAGACTTGGAGGAGTATATGAATAGAGTGTAATTAATAATTACTCCTCTCCTCTATTTCGGTTACGTGCTGCTCCCTCCAGTTCACAATATATGTCATTAAAAAAATATAGTTTATTCATCAAATGTGTCTTAATTAAAAAACATTTTCTAACCTTATCCATATTAAATGAGATTGTGAAGGAGAGAAAAAAAAGATAAAGAATTCCATTTAAATATTAATTATTACAGAAATGAAATTAACAAATAAGCATTAATTACTCTTCAAATGATTTATGCTTTGGACCGAATCATTATTCTAGAAGTGACTTGTATTGTAAACTGAAGGGAGTATAACATATATCTTTGGCGGCCCGCTCACATAAACCAAATTAAATACAGTTAACTCTCTTACGAGTGAAGAACGGACCAGATTAATGAGCCAGGTAAATTTTTTATTCGTCAAGGATTTTTTTTTTTTTTGGAATAAAAACTTAAACTGTTTTTTTTATAATTTGCAAGATGATTTATAAAACAAAATATAAAGTTCTGTCTTACAATGCTTATCCAGCTTGCGGCTTGATGGTAATTGTAAAAGTGTTCTGTTTTCTGGCCAAAAGAAAGAAAAAAAGGGTAAAAGTGTTCTCTTCTCTCGCCACGAATTTGAATTGGCATCACTTTCTCACACACAACAGAAGATGCCTTATAGTTGCGGTAGCAGAGGGAGTATGATTCACATCTTCATAATGTAAAATATACTCCCACGGATTGTTTTTAATAAGATAAATAACCGAATTATGTAGATTAAAAAGTTGGTTAATAATAAATGTGTAAAAGATGTAATTTATTTTTAAAAAATTCTCTTATTTATGGAAAAATGGATGGGAAAGAGAATAAGTAAAAAGAGAGAGGAGAAATAATGAGTTAAAAATGATGAAAGAAAAAAAATAAAAAAATATTAAATGTTCAGACATGATCAAAGTATAGCTAATAGAAAAGACTAAATACATTAAAAAAAAAAAAAAAGCTTAAAAGAGGATCGGAGATAGCATATTTATGTTAGGAAAAAACTTTTCTAAATAAAATATTGCCATTTAACCAACTCATACATCATATATGTGCAAGTTGTACCAATGAAAAGTGATTGATCAGATTATATTGTCTTCTTTATTCATGAATGAGACAATTATTTTGGCTGGCCAAAACAAAAAACGAAGCAGTTAATTTGTAGGGTCAGTGAATTAATTAACGGTTTGGGATTTTTTGTTTTGTTTTGTGCCATAGATCATTAATATCACTTTCGTAGAATAATAGCTGGAGATTCCTCTGACCATGTCCACCACGTCGCTTCGACTAAGTTAATGCGAAGGCGACTTCGATTTTGCAAGAGAGCTGAATTTCTTATCGCTTGCTGGATTTGACCGTCTTTACATTTTTCTCAATTCCTTCATTAATTTCAACATTTTTTTTTAACGTGATACTGGGCAAACCAGTAAAGAGGCCTATTAACAAGTGGAATTTATTAAATTTAATTTCTATAACTTGTAGCGTTTTTTGACTTAAACATCGGTTAATTTAAACTTAGTTAAAATAGCAAAAACTTTTACTATTTTTTTAGAGTTTTTTCTTCTAGTATTTTTTCCCATGTAGACTAAGGTTAATCTCTTTTCGTGCTGTTAATTGATAAGCTTTACTGCAATTTTCAAGTTTCAAAACCAAAAAAGAGTGAAATTCTTTTATACATTTTTTTCTTCTACATGGATAATTAAGGGTTAATATAATATTTGATCCCTCAAATTTATTATCATTTTGGTTTTGGTTCCTAAGGAGTAAAATAGTCCACGTTTTTATTAAATTATAGGGACATATGTTTTGCATGCAAGGAAACTTGAAGAATCAAAACTAAAATAAGAACAAATTTAAATGATAAAAAATTGTATTAGGCCATTATAAAAGTAATCTTTAGTTAGTACGTAAAAATCAGTTTTGGAAATGAGTTCAATAATACAAACTCAACTCTTAAATTAAAAAAATGGAGTTCTAGATATGTGATATGTTAATTATCGCATGAAAGGATTAAAACGAAAAAAGAAAAATCAATATATGTTCGTTATCGATGACTGTTAACTACAATATTGAATATTCGTTCTATGGTTGAATATAGAATTGAATCATTCTCGATAGAGACTAGTGTGAAGACTAGCGCCTGTAGAGTCGACCCCACGCCCAAGTTTTGGTTGAGATTTTCTCTGCACATTTAAATTTTAGTAAGTTCAACTATGATATTATTTTGACTAAAAATAATTAGATTCGTGCAGTTACACGTAATCTTCCTAGATTTTGAATTATGTAAATAATTTATTTGTCATTTAAAACTTGATAATGCATGAATGACCCTCAATCTTTATACAAGTTTGGACTTGTGCAAATTAAATAATTTTCTTACTCTGTATTACCTTTTACTTTATAGAATGTATGTTAGTAACATTACAGGGCGTTATCTATACATTACTTACAATGTGCGGCGCTTATTTGAAGATATAAGCAAAAGTCTAAAGTGGTTATCCCTACAATAACAAAAGTGTGAGAAAAAATATTGTTTATGTAAGACTGTTTATGGGACAGACGGAGGATCATTCTAACCCCTTCAGGATCGGGACAGGATGAGACGTCCCCTTTCTTTTTTAAAAAAATTTATAATTTTGAGTATGAATTTTTTATGTTATAATATTTGTTTTTCATATTGGGTTTCTAAGATAAAAATATTATTAAAAAAATCCCATTGATCCTATTTATAAGTTTCAAACTTGAAGAGGAGTGTTGTCTATTTTATAATTTTCAATTTGTATTTGTTCAACATTTGATGCATTTTTTTCACTTTTGTTCTTAATTATTTATTCTTTTTTCTTTGACATACTCTCTCTTATTATTACATTTTCTTATATATTCTATTTCACCATTTTTCTCATTTATAATAGGGGCATATTTGAAAACAAAAGTATATTTTTAATGTATTTATTACTTTTAACTAATTTTAACTAATTTTTTTATTATTCTCGAATTAGTTATTTGAAGCTTAAAATAAGGACCAAAGGGAGTATTATGTAGAAAGCTCAATCATATAATGTAAACAAGGTGTAAAAATAATATTGTAAAAAAACCTTAAAAAAAAACACTATAATGACTTTATGAATTCATTTTATTAAGAAAAGAGATTTTGTTAAGATAACAGTATAATTTAAGAGCTGAAAATCATTATAAAAATAATTATTATTAATATATGAATTAAATAATTTAATAGTAATAAATAAATTTAAAAAAAAAAACCCTGAGACGGGATAACCACATCTAACATTTTGTCCTGTCTCGGTTATTGTTCCAAAAATTTTTTTATTTCACCTATCCTGTCCCAAATTAACTAGGACCGAGATGGAATAGAACGGTTGGGATGAGACAAGTTGAACCCTTGTATATTTATGACATATGATATTAGTAACGCAAAAGACTAATTAATGACAAGAAAATTAATTATTTGTTCAGATCTAAAAATTTTGAAAAATTCATCCTCAGATTTTAAATATTGCATGAGCTATTTGCACATAAGTCAAAATAATTTTGGGTGATTTTTTTGTGGAAGATATTTTGCGTAATTTAACTGAATAAATTTGAGCAATTTATAGACGTGGACACAATCTGATCATTCAGCAATAGTATCATGACTGGCCCATTGAATATTCAAAACAGGCCGAAGCAGTATATATGAATCTGTCAAGATCCCATCAAAACTTAATTAGCCTCTTATTTTATTTTCTGAAAAAATGAAATGATTTAATGAGATACATTAATTTACAGTCGAACTATCCTCTGGCAGAATTTTCACATAGGGTCCAACTTCAAATTTGATCTCCAAAAATTTAGGGGAGGAAAAAGCAGTACCGTTAATTTTTTTTAAACGGTTGTAATTATTAAACTCCCGAACAAAATATGACAACATGTACATTTTCCCCGTTTACTAAGTTCCTCTACGTATCCTTACAAATTAATTTCTCAATTTCTTCACGAATCACACAAAGAAAAGTAATTATAAATGTTATCTTTTCTAAAGCGTAACCAAAGGAAAAAATTTGGCGACAAATTAAACGCGGAAAAAACAAGGGACACCCATAAATCTAGAGACTGGGCTCGTTTGCGTTGGAGAATAGTGGGCTGGTCAGTCTTTTTTGTCATGGATTGGGCTGGCCAGTCTATTAATGAGCCATTGGGCTTTTATGTGTTAGTTTGCCTGTACGTGTATGGCCCGGGGGTTAATAACATGTAAATTTCAAAAAATAATTATGTACATCATCTAAAACAATTTCCAAATAACCACCTTCGAGAAAGGGTAATATTTCTACAATACTCTTCTGACCCTAAATATAAGATCTATTTTACAGCATAAATTACACTGCAAAATGGGTGTTATATTTAGTACGAGAGGGAGTATCAAAGTAATTGGATGAGTTGAAAAATTTTTAAAAAAAAGAAGAAGAACCTGGGATGAGGTGAAAAAACAGATTTACAACTAAAGCAAGAGTCTGCATATTCAATCATCACTACAATACACTTTCATAGGCAATATAATGATAAAGTATTCATGCAAGAAAGTGATCTCATGAGAGATATTTTATTTTTCCATGTTTATTTGCTCCATCTTCCTATAAATTATTATTTTAATGACATTTTGTAGCTGTGAAACCAGCTTTTTTAGTTCTTAATTAAACTCTTACTCATCATTAAGAATTGTTGGCTGTACGTTTTTGCCAATATAATTGGTTTTTTGCCAAACACGATTTTCAGAAACTAGTAAAGCTAAGACCGAAAGCATTCCAATTACCATGAATAGACCTGCAAAACTATAAGCACTAAGGCTGGGATTTGCATTGTTTGCTGGTGCATTATTGGATGTGTCTTCTTTGCCTTCCTTGTGGATATCGTTGCTTCCAAAATATTCCTGCTCAATCCTGTCCGTTTCTTCACTCTCTCTCACATTTAGTATGGCTGTAGAAAAGTAGGAGGTTAAGTTGGAGCCTTTCGGGAATGCCTGAAAAGTTGTATATGCCAATGTTTGAATACATGCATGTTAAAAACAAAATTAAAATTTGCAATCTTATTAATTAGATTGGTTACGTTTCACCATCAGGATTCAAATTAGTTAAATACGCTATCAGATGTGAGATTAAAACTAGTTAGTATTTTTTACAAGTTATAAACAGTACTGTAACAATCATTCCCCATATTCAATCCATATCCATTCCTAATTTGCCTCGGAATAATTTTTATATATGCTGCCCTTCAACAATAGGAAATCTAAATAAGGTTAGAAAACAGAGAGGGAGATACTTACAAAACCATATCCATCATTGCGGTGTCTGGTTTCGACCAAGGCATAATTAGAATAACCATATTGGTTGAGGAAGATCTTAAGGTAGGAAATTTCATTAAAAATAGCATCCACACCCCCTTTACGGCTTCCTTTGTCCAAAGCCTCCTTGTACTCTTTAATACTGGAGTACTTCTTCAACCTCGAACTATCAATCTTCAAGTGATGGACAAATAAGCCTCTCAAGAATGAGACACCAGGATATCCAATGTTAATGTTGGGATCATTTATAACGTCATTCTGACTAGGAGATGTACTGTCAAAATCGATGATAAGCATGCTGTGTAACTTTGCATCAGCACAAATGCTAACATCAGCCATAACACCAAGACAAACCTAGAGCCTGCTTTGGCCACTGATTTTCCTACGAATAGTTAAGAAATATAAAATTGAGAATAATTAGGCACAGCTTCTTGTGTGATTTTTGCACAAAAGGCACTTTAAAGCAGGATTAGTTTAAAAATGCTCACTTTCAGGAAGGACCGCTTGCATTACATGAAGCCACAGGATAGCAAAACAGCAGAGTTGTTTCCTGCAGGGTGAATCTTCATCGACTGGACGTTCCGGGAAGACTATTATACCTCCTATAAAAATACTAAAGATGGCTATGGAAACCCACAGTCCCAAGTAAAAGGTTGTACAAAAATCCACATATTCAACCGTGGATCATGACGAACCTTCACGAGCATCCTCATATCAGCCGGTCTATATGGTAATGTAAAATCTACGTACTTTGATCGATTTGCCACAATCGCCACATCTCCCACCACAGCATCATACTGTTCATCATATATTCAAGTTAACTAACGTCTTTAATTTGTATACATGGAAGTCATAGACCAATCTTTTCTTTGTCTTGCTAGCTGGTCTCTCGTCTTCATATGAGCAGTAATATATATGAAGAGAAGATCGCATATATAGTTTCTAACCTTTCCTTCAAAAATCTGATAGACGAGTGCGTCGTAATTTCCAGCACTGTTTCCATGTTCGTCTACAAAAGCTCTAAGCTCGAAAGAAATATTGTAATGTAAACTCTTAAGGTAAGCTATTACAGCTTCGAAGACGCCAATGGAAAAGCCCGTAGCCTTGACGACCTGATTCTTATTGCTTGAATTGAGTTCCAAATCCACAAATTTAAAGTGGACGAAGCCGGTGGCTGGTTTCTTGGGAACACCTATTATCAACTTCTTTCCTCCTAGGCGTGAAGCCGCGGCTTTATCATCATCGCCTGCTCTAACCTGAGCTGTTGAAAACACAACACAAGTAATTATTAGAAGGTAGCCGTAACAATAGTAATTTGGGGCTGCCATATATCTATAATGTGGCAATATAAGACAAAATAAAAAGCTGGCTAGTTTGAGTTCATGCAGTTAATTAACTTCATTTATATAGTCGGCTTGTGTGTTGTGTGTGTGTGTGTGTGTGTGTGTGAACACATTATCAGAAATGTTCTCATGAATTGAACAGAAACTCTATCCTAATTTTTTTTATATGACGGATTTAGACGGTCCAAATCATATTATTTATATCCTTATTCTCACCCGTATTTTTCCGTTCAAGTTTTAGGGAAAATTCCTCATTGAAAATTTTATCAGTGAGTAGAATCTAAATCAAACTCCTCACCAATAAAATAGGATTTTTTTTTCCTAATTTCCTCCCCCATTTCTATGGTTAAATTGTTGTAGCAACCATAAGTACTAAAAATATGGAATTATAATTTTTCAGCTAATTTTTTCACTAATGTTTCATATTCTCAATATTCAACTAAAAAAGTATTGAGAATGTTAAAAAAATTTACAAAAATATAACTGATTTCAATTTTCTTAATTTACATGAAGTAGTTAATTGAAAATTAGATTATAAAGACTGTGAAGTGAATATATGTTAGTATCATTTAATATTTATTGCTATTTCAGGGGAAGCTTCATTGCAATTACGGGAATATTTTTTTCGCCGACGCAGTTAGGGGAATTAGGAAGCATACGTAACCATTCCTTCACTTAACGATCTGAATGTTTCATGACCGTACGTCCAAGTTCGCTTTGTTTTTAAATCAATAAAAATAAATTCTTTCTTGCTCGTCAATATACCCGATGCACCGTTTTTCATTCCTCATGTGATATTATTAAGCGGTAAATGGAGTTGAATTAGTTATTGATTAATTATCTTTTAATTAAAATCAATCTTCAAAATTATTAATTGAAAGTTATATTTATTGCGTTACATTTTGTATAAAAATAAAAATTTGAACCATGTATTAGATTTATATGACTTAATTAAATGTACACTTCTAACGCATCCTTAAATTAAATAAATTAAGAATATGTAATTAAATTAAGTATATATTTAATTAATTTTTAAGAATATACTATTGGATTTTAAAAAAATAATTGTATTTACTCCAACGAATTATTTAGGTCTTTGATGGGCATAAGAAGATAATGATAAATAAATAAAGATTGAATGTTGTGTTCTTGAAAGTTCGGTTCATGTACTCCATCACCAGTGAGAAACCATCATCTCCGAGTCAAAGATGGCTCGCATCAACGACAATTTCACAAGCAAGTCGTAATCAAACTTCAACGAAGATATTGATTACTCCCAGCGTCCATCATATAAAGATTTTTTTTTTGCCAGATCATAACATGAAGATTTTCATGCTTTAATTTACTTTGTTTTCTTTTTTTTGATAACAATTTTACTTTGTTTTCTAAATGTATAATTTTTTAAAAAATTATTCCAATTAGGTGCGCATATTAAAGAGCTTTTCCATTACTTATGAGTAGTAGTTGAAACACAAATAACAAAGAATAATATCATTTAAAGAAATTAAAACACGTTATATTTAAGAGATGATTTCCGCAATTAAGATTGGATGGTGCATATTGATTATCTAATTCTTACTACACATGGGGTATGCTTGGAACTGTGGCTGGCTCGCTTAAAAGTGGCCTTTTGGTTTCAAAGGCTAGTCGGGTCATTTACTCATGTTTGGGAGAGCTCTTGGCATTAAGTGCTTTTGGCCCAAAAATCATTAACATGATACTCCCTCCCTCCCTCCGTTTATATAAGATACAATTAATTAAATTGCGTTATTTTAAAAAATTAATTAAAATTAATTAGATGTAATAAATATGTTAAAATTAAATTTTATTTTTCAAAAATGCACTCATTTGTGAAAAATGTGGGTGGGAGGGAGAGAGCAGGAAAAAAAGATAAGAGAGAATGTAAGAAAAAAATAGATGAGAAAGATATTCAAGAAATTATCTCATAGCTACTTTTTTTTTTTAATTGCTTTGGGGCGCGTCACGTTGAAAGAAAGCATTGGTGCGGACAGGCCTACGGCACTCTCTCTCCTGCCTCCTTTTTGTGATCCCACAAAACCCCGGGGGGCGCCCTCGTCAAAAGTTTTTACATGAAAAAATAAAAACAAATCAACACGTATATGATTAACTAATAAATTAAATGAACAATCAATTAATTAATATTTAATAATTTATTTATTTATTAATTGAATAAAGAAATTAATAGTTTATAGTAATACTCTAATATTACTGTTATATGGGCAAAAAAAATAAATGAATGAATCTAGAAGAATATAGGATGATATAAATTAAAATTTATAAATTTTAATGTGTGCTTATTATTTTGCTATTGTTTTTTCTGTCAACTATTATTTTGCTATTGTTAATTATTAAAATATGTATGTATATTTATTAGTTTATTTGTGAAACATTGATACTTATTACTCCTCCGGTCCTTAATATAGGACCCAATTCTTGAGTTGATTTTGATCCTAAATATAAGACCAATTTCTCATATTTATCAATTTTCTCTAAATTACCCCTATAGATACTCTCTCAACCATAATCAAATAGAAGAGGGAGAGGGGGTATTAAAAAAGATGATTATGGTGTTTTAGGAAAAATGTGTCACTTTTCTTATAATTAACTAACTTACCTATCTTCCTTAATCTAATCAACTTAGTTAAATGGGTCTTATATTAAGGACCGGAGGAGTATTTTTTTATTATCAATTGTTAAAATGTGTATATGTACTTATAAATTTACTTATAAACTTAATTTATAAGAAACTTTTCAATCATAATTTACAAAATACGAGATATATATGTGAGAAGAATTTCGTATTGACTTATATGAAACCATGCTTATAAATGTTTATATAAGTAACGGCAAATAAGCATTTTAATGAATATAACTAGTAACTTGACCCAAATTTTATAATATAATGTTTATCCAACTTGTGGCTTGATGGTGAAAGTGTTCTGTTTTCTCCTCACAGGCCATGAGTTTGAATTGGCAGATGCCTGCACACAAGATGCCTTCTAAATTGTAATAATAGGTTAGCAGAGGGAGTAAGATTCACATCTCTATAGTGTAACAAATGCTCCTCTCGTCCAATTTATAGTTATACGCCTCTCAGCTGGTAATTTCAGTGTGTGAATCTATACCTGAATCATAGTCATACAATTCCTTTTTTGGTTGGTATATGACAACGCAATATCAAAATAATGGGGTGAATAAATAGAGGTGACCTTTTTAATATGATCTTTAATTTTTCTCCATTTACGTACAAGGTTCGAATTCATAATCTTATTTATGAGATGTTATCGTATGTATAACATGAACATCAGTTTGCATGACATTTTATTCGTACAAGCATTTCCTAGACACTGAAAAAGAGTGATACATACAAGGGAGATCGAGTTGGTATGAAACTCAATTCTTCAAACTTATTCTGTTTCGTTTCACCCTATATCTAGTTATAGTCAGAAGCACATATATTTCATATAAACTTGTAAGCGTCAAAGATCCAAATCCATCTAGTACCTGATCTTGTCCATTCACAAGGCAAAACCATATCAGCAGCGAGGGTACGTAGTAATTGTGGCTCTATCTCCCTCTTCAGTATTATTACTTGCAGGATGTACACTGGAATCACTTCTGTTCACAGATAAAGAGCTATTCTTTCGATCCAAGCACTTCGCTATTCGAGCGTTTAACTGCAACAACCAAAGAAGTCTTTCTTCTGAACGAGAGTACCCAAACTTAAACAGGTAGAACAGAAGTGAAATCCCAGAAGCGACCCCTACGATGACGAAAAGCCCTCCAAAGCTGGACACAGTAAGACTCACGGGATTGTTTGGGATTGATGATCCATTTTCATCTTCAGATGTGATTCCGCTGGAGAAGTACTTTCCCTTAATCCTTTCAAACTTTTCTTCATCTTGAGTCACATTTAGGATTGCCCTCGAAAAATAAGAGACCAGCGGAGATTTTAGTGGAAACGCCTGACCGCATATGTACAACATATATCAACGTTAGCATTCTATGACAATTGAAGGCTTAAGCATATATTTGTGCCTCTTTGTTATTAGAAACCTTTATTTTTATCTCATTCAATTCAATAGCCATTTTCATCCTTCAACACAGCGTTAGTACAATTAAGAAACTGACTTCCAAGAGGCAACTAAAAATTTGAAATTTCTAATCAGCGATGCATGGAAGACTTTACTAGTCTTATTAATTGACTGATTGTGAAGGGAAGACTTGACTAATTTCAATTTCTTTTTTGGCCTGAATGATTAATTTCATTTATACCGCAATTTCTTTAAACATGTAAAATTTGTATTAAAAATTGATAACGAAATATAAAAAATACGGCACATACTAAACTCACAAGTCATAGCCCCTCTGGTCTCATATGTAAGGGAAAAAAAATAACTACCATAGATTAATGAATAAAATGGGATTATTTTTTAAAAGAAATTTCCCTATTTTATTCACACTCAACAAACATATGAAAAATAATGGGTGTTTCGACAAGCGCTCTATCAATCTTTTATAAACATTCTTTGAATTCGTTTATAAAAAAATAAAAATTCTTTGAATTCAAAAGCATGTCCGAACTTTAATAAACTCATCATGAAACTCAACTTATTTGAAGTTTTAGTCATCAACAAATAAATGGGCGCCGCATATAAACAAAATACTGCTATATTAGTTGCGGGCATAATTAGAATGTTATTAATTAATACGAAAAATTGTAACAAAGTCACACCCTAGGGAATTAAATATAAAAACGCCTCTTAAAATCATCAAATTATTCTGAAGTCCCAATAGACCTTATTGCAAGAGAATTTATTTGTTTAATTATCAAATTGTCTTTTTTTTTAAGTTTGCATTACCAACTGAAAGAGCAGTTATAGACAACTTAAGGTGTAAGGATTAATAACTATCGCGGCAGGTATTGACAATTCATGCATTACATTTTGTGATGTCCTGAGAAAATGTGTTATCAATACTTGCCATGATAGTTGTTAATCTTTACACCTTAAGTTATCAACGACTGCTCTTTCAGTTGTCAATACGAACTTTTTTTTAAAAAAAAGGACAATTTGGTAATTAAACAAATAAAAATTTTTGTAATGAGATCTCTTGAGACTTTAGAATAATTTGATAATTTTAAGAGACTTTTTTGTATTTCATTCCTTTAGGTGGGACCTTATTGTAATTTTTTCTAATTAATATATAGGCATTCTTTCTTTGTTTCTTATATTTGACCAAATCAGACTTTTTAAAAAGGCTCTTATGGTATATATGACACCAGAGGGAGTATCAACTTAAACCTTTGAAATAATATACATGTCACATGTGTGAACGAGTTTAATTAAACACTTGCATTGTATTGCTCGGCATTTGTATTTGTTAAAAGACTTCTATTCAAGGCAAGATTGAACAAGAGAAAGAGAACTCACAAAGCCGAATCCCCCAGTTTTGTAGGTTGGTCCCACACTACCATACTTGGAGCCATATTTTGAGAGGAAAAACTTCACGTAAGGGATTTCACCAAAGATAGCAGCAACCTCACCACTAGCGAGAGCTCGATCAAATTCTTCAGGGGTCTCGTACGGCTTCAACTTCGTCTCATCCTTGAACCCCAATTGATTTTTCAGAAGCATTTTGACGAAGGACCCCTTCATATACCCCACACAGTAATTATTCTTTCTTATCTCATTCACATCAATGAACTTAGGCTGCAATCTTTGTACGGTTAACATGGAAGCCAAACTTGCGGTGTAACTTTGTGTTATGATGAGCACCACAAATACCCATAAGATCAGAACAAAACGCGACCAATTGTTCACTAATCTTTCCTCTGTGTGACCATTAAACATAGTGCGTAAAATTTAATGATAAATATAAAACTGTTGACCTAGAGATCATGAAATATGTAATGGAAGAGTTTAAGAGGAGATTTACTGTGAGCAAAGACTATGGTGGAGAAAGAAAACCAGAACATGATGCCAAGTTGGTGCTGTGGGGACCCTTGAAATTCTGTGTTTGTTCGACGTTCGTGAAGCCATATAATGATACCTGTGAGGACAAAGGCTGCACCTGTGGTCAGCCAAAGACCTGGACTCAAAGGCTTTAAGAAGATCCACATATTTTCTCTCTCATCGTGCTTCATCGAAACAACCATTAACACGCCAGATTCTGAATATGGCAGCGTGAAATCAACATGGTCTGCACGATTAGCTACAATAGTTATGTCCCCAACCACAGCATCATACTCCTACAAGTATTAAAAAAAAAACGGTTACATTTACTTGTTACATTATCTTTCAAAAAGCTTGAATTAATATGCTTGGACAAATATATTAGACAGTATACTATGATTTTTATCCTTTAACGAAAACTCGCCTTTTTCTCAATTTGAAGAACAAGCTCATCATAAGACTCAGTACTTTCTCCATTCTTCTTCTGGAATGCGAGGAACTCATATGGAAAAGGAAAAGGTAAAGCATTGAGCACTTCGTTAAACACATCAATGGTAAAGCCAGAAACATCTGGAGTACTATTTGAAGGGCGTGTTTCCACCTTCAAAAATTCATTAAAGCCCTTTCTTACTGGGACCCCAATTCTCAACTTGGTTGGTTGATTTATTACGTCCCCCGGCCATATTGGTGGCATTAGTTTCAATCTTGAACTCAAATGATTGTTGTGGAATAGTCCTCGCTGTGGGCTCCAATATCCAATAACCCTCTCCTTGCGTCCTACCACATTGAATACTTCAAGCTCTAAGGTTTCGAGTTGTCCTTCACTTAAATGGAAATTCCCGGAGAGGCCTTCGAATTTAGTATCTAGGATTCTATCTATAAGTGTATCATTACCCTTAGAACTTGCAAACTTGGACTCTACTGCCATGGCTATCGCCCAAACTGTGTCATAAGCCCAAAGTCCAAACAAGGTTAGGGGAAAAGACACATTACCAGATTTAATTGACGAAGCTTTCCATCTATTTCTGAAAATTGTAAGCCCTTTAGACTTTTCCAATCTCGGCCTTACCCCTAAGACACCTTGCATGGAATCCATCACTTTCGGAGCCAAAGGGTCTAACACATTGGATAATCCACCGGTGACTATCCACCCATACCCTTCCGTCATCATTCCAGCCTTGTTCACTGCTGAGAAGAATTTCGGACCAATAAGACTAGTCATGTGAACAAGAAATATTCTTTTTCGACTCTGATTGAGCTTCTTCAACTCATCTAAAATGTCATATTCCTCAGAATTTGGATCGATGGGAATTCTGTACGGCACTCGCGTGTTAACTTTCTCCAAGGCATCTGTGATATATGGGATCAGACCCTTGCCATACTCGGTGTCTTCGTAGATTGGGATGATTTCGTGCCATCCGTAAGCTTCAACAATGGCAGCTATAGCCCGCACCTGTGAGCAATCATCTTGTGCTGTCCTAATGAAAAATTTGCTTCTGTTTGGAGTGAGAGATGGACTTGTGGCTGAAAACGAGACGATGGGCACCTGATATCTGTGCCCAAGTTGTATTACGAACCTCGCTTGTTCCGAAAATAAAGGTCCAATAATTGCATGCACGTTTTCATTCGTCATCAAATGGAAAGCTGCATGGGTATAATTAATATCAGGAGCCATTAGAAACAGAAGATTAAAATTCTTAAAAAAGGATTTCAAAGTGTTAAAATATAAATCAGTTGACTGAAAATAACATTTTAGGACTGCAACTGATAAAAATATATTACCTGCAGATGCTGCTTTGACAACATCATTCTCAGAATCCCTGGTTCGAAGATCAAGCCTTGTTTGGTAATGAGAATAGTGTTTATAGAAGTCATCATGAGCCATTTTCATGCAGCGAATGGCCATTCTTCCAATTGAGGAGTTGAGATCAACAACTACCCCTACTGGTATATGTGTTTCCTTGGCCTTCGAAGATTCTACAAAGAAACATAGAAAAGAACAAAAACAACGAAACCAGCAGAGGCAAAGGTTAAAGCTCTTCTTTTTCTTCTGGCTCGACATGTTCATTCTGATTTTATAACGTGGCTACTCTCATCTCTTATCTTTTATATATATATATAGAGAGAGAGAGAGAGAAGTCCATGAAGGGCCGGGCTAATCTCTTTAGAGGAACCGGACATATCAGAGACGAGGAAAGTCACATGTTCATATTCATAGGTGCTGTCTCTAGCTTCCCTGAAGTTTCGATGGTTTTACATATATGACTTAATTTTCCAACTCATACCAATGAATTCCTTCAGTCTTCGATGAGAGGACCCATTGTGAATTTGTGATCACACTTTGTTGGGGCATAGCAAAATAATGGTAAATCCAAATGAAATGACATGTTCCAGATAGAATATTCTGATCTTTCTTTGAAAGTTCGTTTCTATATAGATTGTTTAATTTTCCAGCTTATATATATGGGAGAAAGGACGCAGCATATAGATGCAACTTTTGACGTGAACTGTTTGTCTCTCCCCCCCCCCCCCCAAAAAAAAGGACAAAAATTAAGCTTATTTACTTGAAGAAACTCGACTCGAAGGAGCGTATGCGTAGGGTGTAATTAATAGTTAACAAATATTACTCTCTTCTACTTGGGTTACCCACTGCCCCTTTGATTCAAAATATAAGTTATTTAATCAATTTATCAATATAAAAAAATGATAGTTTATTTATTAAACGTATTTTAATTTGAAATTTTTTTTCAACTTGGCCCATATCAAATGAGGTTGTGAAGAAGAGAGAAAAATACAAAGAGTTACGTTTAAACATTAATTGCAGAAGTGAAATTGATAAATAAGAATCAATTACTCTTCAAATAACTTATGTTTTAATTGGATTGAGTCATTCTTCTAGAATCAACTTATATCATGGAGCCAAGGAAGTATAACATATCTTTGGCAGCCCCATAAACCAAATTAAATACAGTCAGCTCTTTTATGAGCGAAGAACAGACCGAATTAATGAGCCAGGTAAATTTTTTTTTTTGTCAAGGATTTTTCAGAATAAAAGCTTAACTGCCTTTATAAAATTCTGTCTTATAATGCTCATCCAGCTTGTGGCTTGATGGATATTATATTGGTAAAAGTGTTCTGTTTTCTGGGGCCAAAAAAGGTAATAAAAGTTTTTTTTTTTGGGTCTCTCCTCCCCGACCACGAATTTGAATTGGCATCAATTTCTCACACACAACACAAGATGCCTTATAGTAGCAGTAGCAGAGGGAGTATGATTCGCATGTTTATACCGTAACAAATGCCCCCCACGAATTGTTTTTTATAAGATGAACAAATTAAAAAGTTGGTTAATAATAATAAATATGTCAAAAATGTATTTTTTTTTTAAAAAAAATTCCCTTATTTATGAAAAAAAATGGGTGGGAAAGAGAGTGAGTAAAAAAGGAGATGAGAAATAATGAGTTAAAAAATGAGGAGAGAAACATATAATAATTAGGAAAAATAAAAAATATCTATACCAAATGTTTAGGCATTTTCAAGGTAGAGCTGATAAAAAAAGACTAAATAAATTAACAAAAAATTTAGCTTAAAAGAGGATCAGAGAGAGTAGTATACCTATGTTGGAAAAGAATTTTTTAAATAAAAAATATTGCCATTTAACCAACTCATAATTCATGAATGAAACAATTAATTTGTTGGGTCAATGAATTAATTAACGGTTTGCCTCGATCATAAATATCTATTTAGTTAGATGGAATTTCCCTCTGTTTTGCCATTGATCATAATATTACTATCACTTTCGTAGAATAATAGCTGGAGATTCCTCTGACCATGTGAACCACGTCGCTTTGGTAACACGAAAGCGACTTCTATTCTGCAAGAGAGCTGAACTTCTTATCGTTGGGTCTTGTTGGATTTAACTATCTTTACATTTTCTTAATTCCTTCATTAATTTCAACATTTTTTTTAACGTCATACTGGGCAAACCAATAAAGAGGGCTATTAACAAGTGGAATTTATTTTATTTAATTTCTATAACTTGTAGCGTTTTTTGACTTAAACATCGGTTAATTTAAACTTAGTTAAAATAGTAAAAACTTTTACTATTTCGTTAGAGTTTTTTCTTCCAGTATTTTTTTTCCCATTTAAACTATGGTCAATCTCTTTTCGTGCTGTTAATTGATAAGTTTTACTACAATTTTCAAGTTTCAAAACCAAAAAAGAGTGAAATTCTTTTATACATTTTTTCCTCTCCATGGATGATTGAGGGTTAATATAACATTTAATCCCTCAAATTTGTCATTGTTTTGGTTTTAGTCCTTTGAGGAGTAAAATGATCCATGTTTTTATTAACTTATAGGGATAAATGTTTTAAATGAAAGGAAACTTGAAGGACCAAAACTGAAAATGAGAACAAATTTGAGTGATAAAAAATTATATTAGCCCATTATAAAAGTAATCTTTAGTTAGTACATAAAAATCAGTTTTGGAAATGATTTCAATAATATAAACTCAACTCTTAAATTAAAAAAATGGAGTTCTAGACTTCTAGCTATGTGATGTGTTGATTATCGCATGAAAGGATTAAAAAGAAAAAAGAAAAATCATATATGTTCGTTACCGATGACTGTTAACTATATTCAATATTCATTCTATGGTTGAATATAGACTTGAATCATTCTTTGTAGACTAATGTGAAGATTAGCGTCTATAGAGTCGACCCCGCGCTCAAGTTTTGGTTGAGACTTTCTCTGCACATTTAAATTTCATTAAGTTCAACTATGATATTATTTTGATTAAAATTAAATAGATTCGTGGAGTTACACGTAATCTTCCCAGATTTTGAATTATGTAAATAATTTAATTGTCATTTAAAACTTGATAATGAACGACCCCAATCTTTATACAAGTTTGGATTTGTGCAAATAATTTTCTTACTTTTTATTAGTTTTTCTTTTATAGAATATATGTTAGTAAACATTATAGGATGTTATCTATACCTAAAATGTACGGGGCTTAGTTGAAGGTATAAGCAAAAGTCAAAAGTGGTTATCCCTACAATAACAAAAGTTTGAGGAGATATATTGTTTACGTCCGCCCGTCCGGTTCGGAGACCGTCATGGTCGGGGGACATCTTTTCTTTTTTCTTTTTTTAATGCTCTTCTGGTTCTAAATATAAGATCTATTTTATAACATAAATTACACTATAAAACGGGTTTATATTTAGGATTGGACGAGTATAATTTTGAGTATGAATTTTTTATGTTATAATATTTACCTTTTGTTGGGCTTTTTAAAGATCAAAATATTCTTAAAAAAATATTTCATCTAGTCTTATTTATAAGTTTTAAATTTAAAGAATGTGTGGTATTTTATAAGTTTAATTTGAATTTATCTTATATTTAATGTATTTTTTTCACTTTTGTCCTTAATTATTTATTCTTTCTCCTTTGACATATTCTCTTACTACCTCTGATCCTTAATATAAAATCTCATTTGACTTTTATTTTAGTCCTAAGTATAAGATCACAATCCACTTTGTCTCTCATATTTATACATTTTTTTCTAAGATGGTTCTTCTAATAATGGTAGTTTTAGCCAATACATTTGATTAGTAAGGATATTTTAGGAAAGACAACACTTATTTATTACAAATAACTAATTTAACTTATTTCCTTAATCTTTTCAAATTAATCGACTAGTTTTTATAATTAAGACAAGAAGTAGTATCATATTTTTTCATACATTCTCTTTCATTTGTTTT